ATTGTGTACGTGTTTTCTACTAAGGGTTCATGTTATTTTTTTATTGTGTACGTGTTTTCTACTAAGGGTTCATGTTATTTTTTTAATGTGTACGTGTTTTCTACTAAGGGTTCATGTTATTTTTTTATTGTGTACGTGTTTTCTACTAAGGGTTCATGTTATATTTTTAATGTGTACGTGTTTTCTACTAAGGGTTCATGTTATTTTTTTATTGTGTACGTGTTTTCTACTAAGGGTTCATGTTATTTTTTTTATTGTGTACGTGTTTTCTACTAAGGGTTCATGTTATTTTTTTATTGTGTACGTGTTTTCTACTAAGGGTTCATGTTATTTTTTTATTGTGTACGTGTTTTCTCTTGAAACACAACCCGCCCATCCTTTAATTAGCGACCTATCGTGATGTTAATCCACTGTATCTGTGGTGCTGTATGGTCAGGATGATGCTTTGTATACAGATGCCAGAGTGCGTTGGTCAGTGCCTTGGACGTTCTGGCTTATGTCGGGGGGGGGGGGGAGGAGGCTGAACCACGTGACCAGCATATATCAAACAGTTAGTCATACATTTAGGGTTAATAATTTTGTCAGTGATTATTGCAGTTTTGTCCTCTAAACACCATTTCTGAGACACTTCTGTCACTGTGTTATGTACACCATTAACTCGTTCTGTCCGTATCTTTTTATTATGTCCACTGGTGATGTCTAATGTATCAGAAACCTGTAGAGCAGCTTTGTATTCAGCCCAGTTTAGTACAGCCTGTAGAACAAAATACTCACTTCTGATATAGAGTTCACGACTGTTAATTAAGGAAAACAGCTCATCAAACGATAACTTTAAATACAGTTTACTCAAGTAAATAGCAGCAAAGTTCTTTACCATGTAGTTTTTAACTGTGTTCGAGACATATTTAGAATCTAATAACATTGCACTGGATACTATATCTTTAATATTATACATATTTATTTGTTTTTCTGCGAATGTTTCACACAGCTCAATGAGAAATCCAATCTGCAACATATGAGCAGCGTGCCAGATTTCGATGAAGTTGTTTGGACTCAACACGTCTTCACCGGTGTACAAAGTTTTCAGGATTAACTGAAAGGCGGAGACTGATATATCTTGTAGAACTACTCGTCCCTCGTTGGCTTCTTTCATTCCAGACTTCAACACGTCTTCACCGGTGTACAAAGTTTTCAGGATTAACTGAAAGGTGTAGACTGATATATCTTGTAGAACTACTCGTCCCTCGTTGGCTTCTTTCATTCCAGACTTCAACACGTCTTCACCGGTGTACAAAGTTTTCAGGATTAACTGAAAGGCGGAGACTGATATATCTCGTAGAACTACACGTTCCTCGTTGGCTTCTTTCATTTCAGACTTGAGAAGTCCAAGAAAAAATGGCGAACACGCTCCGAAAATGACGCGATGACACTTGATTGAAACGTCGTCAACTTGAACTGTAAAGTCACAAAGCTCTTCATCCGTCCATAATTTATCAAGGCATTTGAAATATCCACTGCATACTTTGCCAGGAACTAACATTTTAGTTGCGACTGATAAAACTGCAAATTAAAAAAAAAGAGAGATACAGATACACTCCTATCCACCTATATGAAACCAATTTTTCAGTTAGCCATCCATGTAACATATGTATGGTTAATTGTACCATCGTCACCTCATCATCTGTCCCATACATTCTAAACCCCTGATCACAGTAATGAATTTTGTATTCAAGAGTAATCATTCATTCAAGACCAGACATTTTATAACTCCCCAAGCAGATCTCAAAACACATGCAGTTTCTTACTTCTCGACTCGCGGTTGTTATGTTTAGGGTCAAGGTTACGTATATGGCCAGATATAAGTTGGGTTCAAGACCAAACGAGAATTTTCACTAGAATCGGGATTTCTAGGTCTTAGCTTTCATTCGTCTTTTGTCGACAAATAAATTTGCATTAAAACAATAGATCTAATAATAAAAAAATACAATAATAGTACGTAATTCAGAATTTAAAGTTAGCTCTCGTACTTTTCAGAAACTATTACTAGATTTCATCAAATTTAAGTCCAGGTCTACGATACTCATTTTATCTTAACCTTAGATCTATCTGTCATAAAAACATGTTTGATAGATATACCTTCTGTTACCAAACTACCAAGTTTAAAAGTATCTTTGATCTTGTATAGTCGGAAGTAATCAATCTCTTCGCCGAATCATAGAAAACGCGTCTGCTTGGTGCAAAGATTTACTTCCAAAAAAATAACCATGCGCACAAGTGTGGGACGGAGTGGTCTAGCGGTAGAGAGCTGGACTGCTAACCCGTAAGTCTCGAGTTCGAATCCGGGTTCAAGTCAGTAGACCGTCCCTGAGTCCACCCAACTCAGATGGGTACCTAACTCACGTTAGGGAAAGTAAAGGCGGCTGGGCATAGTGCTGACCACACTATCTCTTCATATGCCGAGGTCACAGAAACAAGTGAACTCTACTTCACTTGCCCCATAGACCGTCAGGTTTGAAAGGGAAACTTTACTTACATGTGTGAAACCATTGCAGATCTATAATTATAGGCAGATAGGCAGAGTTTCTTCCAGGCATCTCTCATCTTTCACCCCTTCCTCCCCCCCTCCCGTAAAAACGTAAAAATTCTACCCCCCCCCCGGAACGAAATGAAATTTATATAATTTATATAGAAAATATTTACTTTTAACAGTGCCCGCCCCCCCCCCCCCCCCCCGGATAAAAAAGTCTGGAAGAAACACTGATTATGGGGCTGGTAAGTAGGTCACCAACCAGTTTAAATTAAACCTGCATGAGCCATAGAACTGTTTATTGACCTACTTACCATCCCTATATAGATCTAATGGTTTGTACTTTCTTGTATACAGGGTATGGAGAAAGTATTGTTATCGTGCACATACAGGGTATGGAGGAAGTATTGTTATCGTGCACATACAGGGTATGGAGGAAGTATTGTTATCGTGCACATACAGGGTATGGGGGAAGTATTGTTATCGTGCACATACAGGGTATGGAGGAAGTATTGTTATCGTGCACATACAGGGTATGGAGGAAGTATTGTTATCGTGCACATACAGGGTATGGGGGAAGTATTGTTATCGTGCACATACAGGGTATGGAGGAAGTATTGTTATCGTGCACATACAGGGTATGGAGGAAGTATTGTTATCGTGCACATACAGGGTATGGGGGAAGTATTGTTATCGTGCACATACAGGGTATGGAGGAAGTATTGTTATCGTGCACATACAGGGTATGGAGGAAGTATTGTTATCGTGCACATACAGAGTATGGGGGAAGTATTGTTATCGTGCACATACAGGGTATGGAGGAAGTATTGTTATCGTGCACATACAGGGTATGGGGGAAGTATTGTTATCGTGCACAAAAATCACATTTTGACAGTTTTCATCGTTTTACTTCTCAGTACTTCATCATATACGGAGTATAAAGGGACTTATTTTAATCGGGTAAAAATTCTAAATCCAGATTTATCAAAATGTCGTCGTTTTACGCGTAATCGTGTAGGAAAAAATGTGAACACGATAACTTGAGTACCGTTACAGCTAGGTTGTTGAAATTTCATATATAGGTATTAAATCAAATTTGTAGCTCTGTTTTAACATTTCAGCGATTTCCGATAAATGGAAGTGGAATTTATTCTACTTTCATTTTTTCAAAAGCCTATAACTTGAGTACTATTTCAGATAGATAAATGAAATTTCACACGTAAGTAAAAGATCTAATTCTCTGCCGTCTTTCAAACTTTGAGTAATTTCCGTTGACCGGAAGTAATTATTTACGCTATTTCCGATTTCTCAAAAAACGCATATGAATTTAAAAAGTACTTATATTCCGCACTGTTATACACATATTGTTTGCCGTTCACTTGGTGTGCATTTTTTTTCTAATAGATTCTGTTATATTTTTAAAAGTTTAAGTATTTAGAAATTGATTAAAAATCACATCTATATCCCACGTTGCCATCCCCCATATTGTTATATAAGAATATTCGAGAAAGTTTAGGGGAGATCACTCCCGCTTTATTTTATTCAATATTATTTTGATGTAATTTAATTTTAGAAGATGAGGTGTGTAAACAAAAAAAAAACTGAATACAAATTAATTTGACTTTTTATTATATTCCTATTCGACAATGTTCGACAAAAATGGATTGATCGACACTAAGTCCTCAGATATTTCTTGGTTCTTTAATTGACCGTATCAAGTAACATACATCTGCCTAGCAAGGAATGGACCCCCAAACTTTCCCAATCCTAACGTGTTATGCCCTACCTAATCTCAAAGACCTCACTTCAATACATGTCGTCCAATGATTACTATACTATAGGAGTTGTCAGTGGCGTAGACAAGGGGGGGGGGTTAGTAGGTTATAACCCCTCCCATAGACTCACACCCCTATATATATATATATATATATATATATATATATATATATATATATATATATATATATATATATATATATATATATATATATATATGTGTGTGTGTGTGTGTGATTTTATACATATGGAAAAATATTTGAACCCCTCCCATGACCAATTCCTGGCTACGCCACTGGAAGTTGTGTTGAATTATTTTCGTTTCATCAAGTTTCATTTGGGAGCAGCTTCCTACGAACAGAACGGTATGGAATAAGGGAAATAATCGAAACAAAAATAAACAACAAACACGGGTTGCCTCCCATTAATTGTATATTTTACAACATGGATAACACTAATTGTTTAAGGACAGGAATACCTGACCACTGAGCACTTACGTCACCAATTCAACTGACCAAAGAAGTCATCATTTAACCTGACTTTTGCCATACACTGGCCACAACCAGCAGCTTACTATGGGCAAATAAAAAAAAACACACACAAAAGAAAAAAAACAAAAAGCAAAAATAACTACAACCCATGCTTTAAAACCCCTAAAATGAGGTAGCTTTAAAAATAAGAATCTTACAAATGTATAAATATTTATGTATTTGTTTTATTATCAAAATGGACTGCATAGACAACAAAAATAAATGCATTAATTATTTAATTAAATGATATAATAATATTTAATGTGAGAGTTTTGTTTGGGCAACAAAGATTAAAAAAACAAAAAACTATGAGTGAACATAGATTTAAAGTGCTAACAATAGCTAACAGAAAGCTATAGATATTTGGCTATTCATACATAAGTAAGTTACAGATGTTATTACAGATGTTAGACCATTCAGAAAAAATGTGTTAAATCAACGAGAATAAAACAATAAAGAGGCTTAACGAAGATTTAAAAAAAAAAAATTTAATCCGATGTTTGATGCATGATAGTATAAAAATCCATATCAATACAAAAAAAAACAGTCATGATAACAAATTCATAATTATCTATTGTGTTGCTAATTAAACCAATTAATCTATGTTGTTAGGTCAATAATATGTGATGAATAAAAGATGAGTACAAATTGAAAATTGTTAAAATATATACAAAATAAAATTTAAAGATAAAAATCTCATTTTCAAATCAATGTTATATGTGTAACAATATACAAAGGTATGACAATGCAGTTTCATACAAACATATGAAACAACTTCATACAAATGTATGGAACAAAGCTTTATACAAATGTAGGAAACAAAAGCTCATACAAATGTATGAAACAAAAGCTCATACAATTGTATGGAACAAAAGCTTATATAATTGTATGGAACAAAAGTTCAAGTGTATGGAACAAAAGTTTATACAATTGTTTGGAACAATTGTATGAGAATGTAACATCAAACAAATGTTACAAGCAACATGTCTTTTGTATCTGGCACTAAAATTGTTGGGACCAGGTGTTAGCTTGTACAGATAGTTGGTGCTCTAATGATCAGAAATTACAGAAAAAAACATTTCAAATAAAGCTGCCTCTAAAATTGTTTTTCTTCATCTTTACTTGAATTTTTCATCTAGAAAATTCTGTGTAAACGTTCTCCTTCTTTTTTTTTTCAAACATCAGCTTTTTTTCCCCAAATATTTTAATATCTATTTGTTTTAATCACATAGTCATCACTAAAACTATACTAAATACATGTTTAAACCCTATACAAAAATATCAACATTTAGACAATCAAATGACACATATAGGATGTAAGAGGATTAGGAAATCCAATACGATGGAATAAAGAGTTGTATAAGAGATTGCTTATCTGGACTAACATCAGTCAATGATAAAAGATATAGGGCTGGTAAGTAGGTCACCAACCAGTTCTATGGCTAATGTAGGTTTTATTGAACCGTAGAGATGGTTGGTGACCTACTTACCAGCCCTATAACACACATACAAGTACAGGACTCCTGCTTCAAGTGTTATTTTTAATATGGGCCACAACTGCAAAAGTAAGAGTTTAATTACTATCTAGTTTAACGAGAGAGAATTTTTTATTCAATATGCAGATATCATTCAAAGAATGAAACAATTGTATGCATCATAAAAAAAAATTCTGTCTAAAAAAAAAATATAATATCCAGGGTTCCCAATGGCATCAGTCAACATTAACGGTACATGGTGGAATGTTTACATTTGAGTTCAAGATCAGCTGACAGCCAGATTCTTTTAAGAATGAAGATGTGTGTGTCTAATAATAACTTTGAGAAGTCAAAGGTGGGATTGATTTGGAGGGGGGGGTGTTCACAATGATGATAAACTCAACTCTAGAAGATGATGTATCAATTCATCCACCAACTTACATATCCATGGCTCAGGGGGGGGGGGGGGGGTTCCATCCTCTTCATCTAGAATAGGTCTAGGTAAAAACAAAATGAAACATTTGTTTTATGGACCCATCATCACCAAAACAATCCATAATACTTGCTAATTAACCCTCGAATGTGATCATGCTAGCTTAACCAAACATGTGTAGTAGATATATTAATTCTAAAAGACACAACTACCTTATTTAATCTATGCCTAGACCATATAATTATGAATATGATAAACAATATAAATCCATTGCATTACAATAACACATAAATTTGAACCTTGTAGATGAAGGTTATGGCCCTTTGTAGTACAAAACACAATTGTCTCCCTTATATACAAATACAAAGATACAGTGTTTTACTGAATGGAATGTCTACACAAGTTTGTTAAGGCATCTTGGATATAAAGAAATTTATAAAACAACAATCATAAGAAGAAATCTACCAAGGCTACGTGTCACTTCACTACACCTCCAACTAAAACTTATAGAACAGAAAGATATATAAGCAGAACAAAATCTGCATTAGATAATAATTTGAAATACTTTGTAGTAAAAGGTAAATATGATCTATTCTAGAACAGCTCAAAATAATTCAGTGTTTATTATCATGGATTACAGACATGTACAAGTTAACTAGGCTAAAATGACGACAATAATAATTGACAATAATAATTGTTATAACAATCAATGTCTCAGTATACTCTAGGCAGAAAAGGAATGTGTAATGGCAGTTTGATGCATTCACACATAGCTAGTATTTTCTATTTGCTTGTCACTCTTGTTTTTGAAAAACAAGTTAAATATAGGCCTACATGTGTAAACCATTCTATGTAATGTTTTTATACATAATTTTTACGTCCAATAAGATAATCTCTGTTAATTATTAAACTTAACCTCAAGTTCATATCTATTTTATGGTAAATATTGTAAACCCTATATTATTTGAAGAATATATTACTTCATATAAATATTCACTTTTGAGATACTAAAAACACCTGGGTTGCTTCCCTTACAAAAATCAATTTTTATAAATATCTTTACATAACATAACAAAATGTTTCACAAGGAACTAAAACCTCAAGTCTTAATGCACCCAGTTGACCGGCACCCACTGCTGTTTGGACGTCATCTCGTTTAATGATTTACGCAGCAGACGGTAGGTCTCATCGAAGTTGTCGTTGACTATAACCTCGTCGAAGTAGCTGTTGAACTTCAACTCAATGTCAGCACTCTCGTTGACTGTCTTTATGAAGTCATCCTCCTGTAATAGAAATTTTGAAAACATGAAAACATTAATCACACACACAAGTTGGTGTGGGGTAAAGCATTTGACCATATTAATGAAATCATCCTCCTGTAAAAAAAATGTTGAAAACATTAATCACACACACAAGCTTGTGTGGCCAAATGGTAAAATATATGACATCCAACCCAGAAGTCTTGAGTTCGCATCCTATGTTTGAGTTGGTACGCCATCACTGAGTCCACCCAGTTCTGATAGGTACCTGACTCACAAAAGGGAAAGCAAAGGAGGCTGGGCATAGTGCTGCACATACTATCTCTTTATATGCTGAGATCAACTAAGCAGCAGATCTCTACTGGACCTGCCCCAGTGACCATAGGGTTCTATAGGATACTTTTTATATACGTAAGCTTAATTAAAAATATCTTTACATAAATTGTATAAACTAGTTAAATTTGACAGATCTTACATAAAAAAATATTTGATTTTTATTTGATTGATGCTATTAATTGAAGTACAGGTAGAAAATATTGTTTTACTATAAAATATATAAATTAAATCTAGCATGTAATTCACAAATTTATTGGGTACGGCAATCTCTATTTTTTTAAATAAGAAAAAACGGAGCAATATGCTACATTATACTTTATATTTAATGAAGTAAATGAAACAGGTAACTACTTACACTTTTTAATTCAACCACATTCATCCCACCTTGGCCCTGCGGGAAAAATATTTTTAGGTGTCAATGGAGGTAAGAATAAAATTGAGAAATATATCTGATCAATATCAAGCATGACAAAAAAAAATCTGTTCAACAAAATATGAAAGGTGTATGAGAAATAAGTGTTAAGAAAAATATCTGCTAAATAAAAAAAGGTTTGTGATGGGGTTATGAATACAAGCCAATTCTAAACCTTTAATGCTTTAATAATTCCTTTGGCTAAAACCTGACATTGCAGACAAAAAAACAAATGTCTGCCTAAACATTTGTCTGTCTTATGAGGACAAACACTGACATATGTCACACATAAAATAAACAAAACCTGTGCTTTAAGCAGACACACAACGTATGTTTGTGCTTTACACCAAAACACACATAAAATAAACAAAACCTGTGCTTTAAGCAGACACACAACGTATGTTTGTGCTTTACACCAAAACATACGTCACATATAAAAACAACTCTCACCTTTCCTCCCCTGGACATATGCCTACCCTCCTCGTACATCACCTTCAGTGCGGCCACACTTGGTGCCGCAATAAAAACTATGTAGGGCATGAACTCCTGGGTCTTTAGTAGCTTGAGAGCCTGAAAAATATTGGGTAAAAAGTTGAAGTTTAAAAAAAAATGTATGCCAATAGAAAATCATAACGTTAGAACTGAATTCTAAGGTTAATTTTAAGGCAAAAAACAAAAAAAAAATAAAAGGAATTGAACAGTTTCTAGTCAAAAGACTTTGATTAGTGCAAACAGTAAATTGTGAGGACAAACTAACACTAGTAGGCAAACATAGAACATAAGTACATACCAATATACTAAGGTATCAATAATGCCAGAACAAGATGTACACATATTTACATGTACACTGACTACACACATACCCAGACACACACACACATATATATATATATATATATATATATATATATATATATATATATATATATATATATATATTAAAGAGAGAGAGATACATTAAATATTAATATGTATATACAGTGTCGGCGCCAGGTTATTTAGCGCCCTAGGCAAAAATTAATAAAACACCCCCTTTTGCACAATTTAATTACTAAAACATATGTATAAGAAAACAATTTATTAAAAGTGACATATTAATTTATTATCAATTGCATACACGTTATAAGTAGACATCAAAATACTATTTTACTTGCCCCTTTCGTCTCAATTCCAGTTTGCAAGCATAATCATATTTTATTGAAATTGTTGCTAAGTGCACGAGTCTACTTTGTACATTATGACATAGCCCCCCCCCCCCCCCCCCCGAAAATGTTAAGTACTCCCTCCCCCCTCCCGGAAGAAAAAAAGTCTGGAAAAAACCACTGAATCAAATAAAAATGTTCTTGTAGTGTTGGGCTCCCTGCAGTCCTCCCAAGGTGAGTTCCACAACGGAACTTACCTGTTTTAAAGCTTGACTGTCTTTAGTTATAATTGTAAAAATGTCTATATTGTGTGATTATGTATCAAGTTTTTGGTTAATGAAAAATAAAAGGTTATAAATAATATAGATTCCAGCCTAAAATTATATATGAATCCTTTAGGAGAGGGTGAAAAATATGAAAAGACAATTAATTAGATGTTTAATTTACGACTAAGACTGTATGGCTACTAACATTACGAATTACAATCTATAACGGCTACTGATATATTTGTTTTTTCAACTTGATAATGCTGAAAAAACATACTAAACTATTTTGTTTAGAACTTAAGCTCTATATAATTTTTACAATGGCAAATAATAACTTAAAGTTGTATTTATATGTAAGCGGTCAACCTAAGGGGCAGGAACTTGAAATGAATGTTAAGTTAAGCAACAAATTATCTCCCATTTGAAAATCCAAATATCAAAATTTTATTCAAGGGAAATAACTTTCACAAAAATAGCTAAATTAACCAAGTGAAACTTAGAAATGCTTAAAATTCACAATAAAACACTCTAAATTTCATTACGTAAAAATTATATTAAAATATTTTATATTTGCTATGTTACCTTTTGAAAATAATATATTCTACCGATTGAATACTTAACTGTAGGTTTTGTTTGAAAGTCTAAAAGCGATAGTGTTATTACAACATCCTTCCATTCAATTTTGATGACAATCTTTAAATTTGTATTTTAAATTGATAAAGTTAGCAAAATTTTGGATCCCTTAAATAAAGGGGAGTTTTCAAAAGATCAAACACGGGTAACTGTTCTAGAGCATAGGTCGGCAACCTGCGGCTCGCGAGCCGCATGCGGCTCTTTTGCTGTCCAGTTGCGGCTCTTCAGCTCCATGCATAAATATTAATAATTATTTTATTTTCAAAACTCATAAAAATATTAGTCTGCAACAATCGGTGATAAACGATATAACATAAGATATAAACAATAAACATTCACTATTATATTATAATGTTTATTTACTCCCTATCTCAATGTACTTCCTATTACATTGTCCATTCCGAATTGAAACATTCAACTTCATAGTGGATATCACAAAAAAACTAAACCAGCTATGTGTAAAACTGAAAGGAAAACCCAGCCTGTGTCTTGCTTAAAGAAGTGGTTTGTTGTGAAAAAAAAATTCGTTTGAATACATGGTGAGCGGTAATTTACTTAATGACGAAAAAAAATATCGTTATAAAACCAATGCTACTATTCAATCACTTCAGCATTAATATAAACAAAATGAAGGATGTTTTCACTGAGAGATGTGAGCTATTCAAAACAAATACAAGTACTCTGTCTTACATAGTAGATCCTCCAAACACAAATTCAAATGAGATTATTTCTTAAATTCAAAGCTATTTATTTTAAATTATATATATAGTATGATATTTGTTTAGGATTTTATATATATATATATATATATATATATATATATATATATATATATATATATATATATATATATATAAAATCCTAAACAAATACACTATTGACATAAAAATGTTAGTGGCTCTTTAAAAACCGGGTAATGTTGTAAATTGTAACTTTTGGCTCTTTCGGCCCAAAAGGTTGCCGACCCCTGTTCTAGAGTATTCTAGACTAGGGGTCGGCAACCTGCGGCTCTTTCAATGTCAAGATCAAGCTCTTCAGCTCCATGCACAAATATTATTAATAATTATTTTTAAACTAATAAAAATATTACTCTGCAACACTCGAATGATAAAACAACAAATATAAACAATAAACACTCGTTATTCTATTAGAATATTTAGTTACTCTATTTCAATGTAGGCCTACTTCCTTGTTTTCTAAAACAGTTATTTAAATGTAAACAATGCTGGTGTTTGAATCATATTTATCGGGGCACGGGTTTACCTACACTACCGCCCAACACGGCATGCGGCGTAATGTATGAAAGCCTAGAGTGTAAATCACTCACCGTAGTATCACACGTAATCACTTACCACCTAAATGTCGGGGACGGAAAGTGGCCCTCTCGTGAGCCCCTGTTTACACTACCGCAGGGACCCCACGTACAGCCCTAGCTCTGTTTAATTATCGAATGTCGGGTACCGCATTATCAATATTGTATGGTGCTCCTTAAAACTAACGTAGGCACGTAGTGCCCACAGGATAGCCCTGGGCGCCAAATCGCACCAGAGGATGCGCCTGATTCAATTTAGTGAAGGACTATAGCAACCCACTGTATCCTTAGCCTATCGCGCTGTTTAAAATGAACGTTTCAAAATAAACGATTCATCAAAACTTGCCAAACAAGTAAAATACTTTGAGCACCCCGTCATTACAAAACTCTCTACACCAGGACACATTTCTAATTCAAACTCAGAGAAAACAAGACTTACAAGCCCTATTAAAATTAAATAACCATTTGAAATGTTCGAAATTTAAATAACAAACTTATTTAAGCGTTTTCTACATCAATTTATGGCACCAAATTAAAAAGGCAAAGTGACTGGTAAAAAACGCCCCGACCTTACCAAAATAGGGATTTGGGGTTGCATTTTCATCATCGTGAATAAATATAGGCCTATATGGACCTAATTTTGGGGTGGGGGTGCAAAATTGATATTTCGTCCGAGTTCTATCAATAGATCGCTACTCCTTTATAAAAGTTATAAACCATTAGGTACTTTTTGCTAATAGCGATTAAACATTTTGCGCCCCCTTAGGGATGGCGCCCTAGGCGACCGCTTAGTTTGCCTTATAGGTAGCGCCAGCCGTGTATATATATACAATATGCCAAAACAAAATATAAAATAAATAAAATATATACCCACTAATATAAAAAAGTTAAAAAAACAAACCAACATTTGCACAACAAATGGACATTTGCACAACTAAGAAACGCATCAAACATCCATCTAGAATAGTCTAACGATGAGTTCCAACTTACATTGGGGCTGACGTCCAGCACGCACATTTTACCAGACTTGACCACATCCCAGCACGAGTCCACCCGAGTGCCGTAAAGGTTAAAGTTGAACTCGCCGTGCTCCACGTACTTGTTGTCCAGGATGTCACGCTCCATTGATTCCCTGTCAGTGAAGTAGTAGCCCTGACCGTCCACCTCTCTTTCCCTGGGCGCTCTGGAGGTGTCTAGAGGTGTTTGAATGAGAGGTGTTTAAAAAAAGAGGTGTCAGTCAGTGCTACAATAGAGGTGTCTGTCATTGTTAAAATAGAGGTGTCTCTCAGTGTTAAAACAATTTTTCCATAAGTTTTGATCCATTATACGAGCCAACTAGTAAAAAATTGTACCAATAGTCGAGACATATTGTCAGCACTTACGAGCAATTGGTGTCCCAAATCTACGAGGGTCGTCTTTGATAAGTCTCTCTTTCAGTGACCTCCGACCTACACCTTTGGCACCAACCAGCACCAAGAATGGACGTTCAAACGGTGCCATCCTCCTCACTTCCTCATAAATCATCACATCAGCTTTGTCGTATTCTGTCAGACATACAATGTTTAATTGTAAGATGCAGCACTTTGATAAAATATTTGTTAATAATTGTAAGACACAGTAGTTTCATAAAATATTTGTTAATAATCGTAAGACGAAGCAGTGCAATAAATTATTTGTTAATTGTTGTAAGATGCAGCAGTTTGATAAAATATTTGTTCCAAGTTGAACAGTCAGCTAGGTACAACCAAATTACATACCTTTGTTATCTTTAGAGCTGTATTTTATTGTTTTCTTCTTTTTCTTTGTCAGACCACAAACTGGAATAGGAAGTACATTGAAATAAAAAAAAAAATTTAAATACTTTAATTTTGCAATAAAACACTTTTCCAACATATTTTAGAGTAATAAAATTGAAATACAAGTCTTAGGTTAATAAAAATTTACATAATGGTAAACATGTGACTGAGTTAAGTTTGATATGTACAAGAACCAAAAGAAAAACCCAAAGGGGGAATAATTATAAGGGGTTAAATACACCCAGTAACCAAAATTTACAAAGAATCTGAAGTTAGATTGAATCCATAGATGTGTATCATTTAGCAGTAACAAAATATGAATTACTATACAACAACAGAACTGTATCTATTATTTATTTTAATATATATATATATTTTTATATATGCTGTGTAATTTAAGTACATATACATTATTTACTTTTTATATGTTGCATTATTTGTGTTCCATATAAAGTTCAATTTTTTCATTGAAAATTTTTTTTTTTATAATATTGAACTGATCAGCCTTTCTGTACTAATGTTTAAATTTTGCATGCTTGTTAGAATTTGTAATGAAAGTTAAGTCTCAAAAGTTAACTGTCTATTATCTTAATTAATGATATAAAAATTAATATTGAAAGTATTATAAAACAGATTTCATTTTTAAAACTGATAGTGTTAATTGACTGCATGTCCATTAAGCAAAATTAAAGAAAATGTATCGCCCTTCACAAAAAATTCTAATTGTGTCTGAAAATTATTTTCTTTAGTCCTCTAGCACTCATTATGTCCCTGGATAAATTAGGAATACACAATTACTTCCCTTTAATAAAAAAAATGAGATTTTACTTTTTGTTACTTTGTTTTGGTGTTTGGAAAAAAATAATTACATCATTAGCGTGGATTGATCAAGTGCAATGTGGTAAGTAAAACACTGATATTTTAAATATAAATTTTTAATCAATAACAGTTTAGAAGCCAGCTCCTAAATGTTCTCTGTTTACTTCTATATTTCCGTTTGCGGATAATCTTTGGGTATTAAAGTTGTTCACTAAATTGAATCAGGCACATCCAGCGGTGCCCCTGCAGGATTAGATTTGGCGCCCTGGGTTATCCTTTGAGTGTAATGGTGCTTAATTTTGTTTCAAACAGTGCGATAGACTATGGATAAGAAAGGTTACTAAAGTCTTTAACTGAATCAAATCCGGGCATCCACCAGCACCCCGACAGGGTGATATTTGGCACCCCAGGTCTTTCCGCGAACGCTTTGGTGCCTACGTTCGTTTACGTGAGTGCAAAAGACTATCAATAAGTTGGGGTATTATAGTCGTTTACTAAGTTAAATCAGGCGGTTCCGTCAGTGCCCCAGCAGGATGCGATGTAAGCGCCACGGACTAGACTGTGAGCACTTTACGTTTATGTTTGTATTTGCATTTGTGTTTTCTTTGCGTTTGGATTTGAGGTTTGTTTTCATTTTCTTTGTGTTTTTGTTTGTATTTGTGTTTGTGTTCTTTGGTTTTTTGTTTTAGTTGGTTGTGGTTAAGGTAATTCGAAAAGTATTTTATGTCGTAAACCGGGCAATGCCAGGTATATGCTGATTACTAAACACACAAGTCATGGTCCTTTACAGAAATGTTTTTCACAGAAACAACGTTAGATATACAATACAAATGTTAAAATTGTTCACTTATTACAATTACATCTTCACTAGGCAGATTTTATAAGCTAGTTTATAGAATGAATAATAAATGCACTACATGTTAAACATGTGACTTACACAAACTGCTTTTGGAATAGTCCAGGTCAGGGTTGACAAAAGATTTTCTCTTCTCCTCCAAGGCCTGGGATGGGATGAGACCAACTGGGCCATTGATTTCAGCAAGACGGGCCTGGAGAAATGGCAGGTGTACAACAATTGAAATGGCAGGTATACAACAATTGAAATATCAGGTATACAACAATTGAAATATCAGGTATACAACAATTGAAATATTAGGTATACAACAATTGAAATATCAGGTATACAACAATTGGAATACCAGGTATACAACAATTGAAATATCAGGTATACAACAATTGAAATATCAGGTATACAAAAGTTGAAATATCAGGTATACAACAATTGAAATATCAGGTGTACAACAATTTAAATGGCAGGTATACAGCAATTTGTCTTAATAAATAACTTTCTAATTCATTACTTTCATATTCATGAACCATCTCTCAACACCCATTAGTGTATAAGGCATCAACCAGTGAGCGTCATGTCATCCTGTCTCTAGCTACAACCTCTGCCTGTTGGAATGTTAGGGCTCTTTCCTTCAACTCTTTCTCTGTTGATATTTTTCATGTTTCTTTTTGCTGCCCTTGTTTTCTCTTACCCTGTGCTATCCATCTGGTTGGCACCCTAACAAATGTGTCTGCTCTCACTTTTAGCACATGACCAAACTATCATATTCTTCTGTGTCTAATAACTCATGCTAATGGATGAATTACTTCCCATATTAGACTTTATATAATTTATTATTATATTTTACTCCTTGATATTAATCTATGATAAATTAATTTGTTTCTTCTCCTTCTGTGCTTAAATTAATGTTTTATTTTTCTAAAAAAAAAACCCAGTGATGCAGATTTCAAAGACTCCCATAGAGATTAAATACTTTTTAAAGTGCTAGGTACATTCCAGGAAGACAGTCCACATAATACGTTGCTATAAGAAAAATTTTGAACTAAACATGTACACAAAGCTTTGTGATCCAAAGACTGAGGGTTCATTGAATGTCGAAACATGCCAGCCACAGAGTGAAATTAAGACATAATTAAATTAATTTTTTATTTCACTTTATGTTTAAGTATGAAGAGTATGAACATACAATATTCATTTATACAGGTATCGAACTAAAGGAAGTTGACATACCTGCCACCAGTTAGTGTCATCACTGACGACAATTTCCAGGATGTCACCGTCATTGAAGGGCAGGCCAGCTTCCTTGCATGGCAGAAGACGGTCTTTCATTGGGTCCCAGCTAAAGTGGGCTTTCATGTAAACCTGAGTGGACAAACATTTACATTTACATGGGCTTTCATTGGGTCCCAGCTAAAGTGGGCTTTCATGTAAACCTGAGTGGACAAACATTTACATTTACATGGGCTTTCATTGGGTCCCAGCTAAAGTGGGCTTTCATGTAAACCTGAGTGGACAAACATTTACATTTACATGGGCTTTCATTGGGTCCCAGCTAAAGTGGGCTTTCATGTAAACCTGAGTGGACAAACATTTACATTTACATGGGCTTTCATTGGGTCCCAGCTAAAGTGGGCTTTCATGTAAACCTGAGTGGACAAACATTTACATTTACATGGGCTTTCATTGGGTCCCAGCTAAAGTGGGCTTTCATGTAAACCTGAGTGGACAAACATTTACATTTACATGGGCTTTCATTGGGTCCCAGCTAAAGTGGGCTTTCATGTAAACCTGAGTGGACAAACATTTACATTTACATGGGCTTTCATTGGGTCCCAGCTAAAGTGGGCTTTCATGTAAACCTGAGTGGACAAACATTTACATTTACATGGGCTTTCATTGGGTCCCAGCTAAAGTGGGCTTTCATGTAAACCTGAGTGGACAAACATTTACATTTACATGGGCTTTCATTGGGTCCCAGCTAAAGTGGGCTTTCATGTAAACCTGAGTGGACAAACATTTACATTTACATGGGCTTTCATTGGGTCCCAGCTAAAGTGGGCTTTCATGTAAACCTGAGTGGACAAACATTTACATTTACATGGGCTTTCATTGGGTCCCAGCTAAAGTGGGCTTTCATGTAAAACTGAGGGGACAAACATTGAGTGTTTACATGGGGATTTAAATAAAAGATGTAGGTAGAACGTCTTTCATGTAAACCTGAGGGGGACAAATCTTGTGCACATTTACATGGGCATATACACAGAAGTGGACAAAACTTGTATAAATTTAAAATACATGTAGGTTTACACAATCTAGTAAACTAACAACATAGTAGTTAATTATAGTATAGTGTTATAATCATAACGTTAGACCACTATCACAAGAGCTCAACTGATCATGATGACAAACACACAAGTAGCTAGACCAGACGTAAGTGTGTCAATGGACATGATGACAAACACATACATATGTAGATCATATGTACACAAATGTCTGACCTACCGGTTCAGTTTTGTTTTGATGGATGAAGGATGGGATGATCTTGAGGGTGATGTCAGGGTCGGAGTCTATGATCATATCCATCATCTGCTCCGGTGTGCCCACTGGGAATCCGTTGACCTCTCGGATAATGTCTCCAACATGGAGGATCCCTGTCACAAAAACAGACTAAATGTCATGGGATGTGTCATCAAATGTCATGGGCTGTGTCATCAAATGTCATGGCTGTGTCATCAAATGTCATAGATGTGGGGACACTTACAATACAAAAATAATACAATACCAAAAATTATAGGAAGATTACATGTTATGAAGAGTGTCATCATATGTCACATTTGTTGGAAAAATGTCACACAACTGTTCCCTGTTTCTAAACATAAGGTAGCAGTTAAGCTGACAAGAGCTGGACTCACCCTGTTTATCCACAAGACTGCCCTGCAAGATTCTGGCAACTGTAAGGTCATTGGCCTCATCCAGTTTGACTGTAATGCCCTACAAAATAAAGTGGAGCATTAGGTAGAGCCTTTAATAAAATGTAGAACTAATTTACAATTAAGTGATCCATTCCTATCTTTAAAAACATTTTGGCCAGGTATCATGACATCTATTTTTCTCAACATAATTAAGTATACAGAACTTCATCTAGTTATTTCAACTGTTTAGAAATTTTGAAACAAATATTAACAGATTAATTTAGCTTTGTCAATAGTAAATTATAGTTAGTAATATTTGTTACAAATATTTAAAAAGAAATTTAGATTTATATATAATTCATTAAATATTTCTATATTTAAAAATTGGCTGGTGTTTTATTTCATTATACTAAAGTCAATTAATGAATGACCCTGCCATGAAACAGTCTAATGAAGACATTGGTAAGACGAGATGAAGTAGTGAACAGACGTACCAGTGGCTCCGTCTGTGACTTGCGGATGTTGACATAACGGACCTGCTCCTGGGTGGAGTTGAAGACAGGGGGCAGGGGAGATAACAACTGAGGACCTTTCATGACTTCCTGGCTCTTGTCTATGTCCCCTTCAAAGTTTTTGTTGGTGACGTCATCATGGGCTACCAGCAAGGCCTGAAACACACACACACATACAGATGAAAATTTGGTTAAAACTCTTTACACTGAAACACACACGCCCACATGAAAACATGGTTAAAACTCTTTACACTGAAACACACACACATGAAAACATGGTTAAAACTCTTTACACTGAAACACACTCAGCACAAAATTAATTTATAACATTTAAATAGTGTTAATTTCTTTTTATATACAATTTAAAAAAAATAAGATGTAGCATGCAACATTCATAACCAATCTGAAAAACATTTGGTTAATTTAAAAAAATGTATTACAATGTGTAGTTATATTTTACAACATATCAAGCCTTAGTTGAATTTTTAAAAATATACTAGAGTGAAACTGTTTATAACATAGTGAATTTGAGCCAACTTTTTATCACATGAATTTAAAAGAAAATTAAAATAATGCACTAATTGCAATTATGATATTTGTGGACTGGATTAAAAACATGCTATGTTTAACCAACATAATCTAAAATATGGACTGGATTAAAAATATGATATGATTAACCAACATACTCTAAAATGTGGACTGGATTAAAAATATGATATATTTAACCAACATACTCTAAAATGTGGATTGGATAATATCTCTTTTAGTTCCTCCACATCATCTTCAGGTTCCTCTGCCTCAGCTAAAGCCTCCAGCAGCTCTCTGGCAGCAGACACAGCATCCTTGTCTTTACAAGGTGGCATCATCACCTCAAGGTTCTCATGGATCTACAATAACATCCACAACAATCAGACAGATCATCAACAACCATCAGACATAGGTTATCAACAACATTCGTAACAATCAGACATACGTTAACTTGTATTTTCTTACACAAATTATAATTTAAAAATACTGTTTAAGACTAATCTAATGGTAGCTTTATTCTGTCAGAAATGTTTAGTAAAAATATAAATGAAAAGGCACTTTATGACGAGTATTAGTGAAATGTAATAAATCATTAGATGACAATGCAACAGTGACAAAAATAGCTGTATAGAATTGAATTATGGCATAGAACTTACAACTAAGTTATGGAATAATGACAGAACCTACATCTATAAATTGGAACAATGACTGAACACATCAATAACATGGAACAATGACAGAACTTACATGTTTTACAAGGAACAAAGGCAAAGAACTTACATCAATAACATGGAACAATAACAGAACTTACATGTTTTACAAGGAACAAAGGCAAAGAACTTACATCAATAACATGGAACAATGACAGAACTTACATGTTTTACAAGGAACAAAGGCAAAGAACTTATATCAATAACATGGAACAATGACAGAACTTACATCAATAACATGGAACAATGAGATAACTTACATCAGTAACATGTAACAATGACAGAGCCTACTTCTATAACATGGAATAATGACAGAACTTACATCTATAACATGGAACAATGACAGAACTTACATCAATAACATGGAAAATGACAAAACTTACATCAATAACATGGAAAATGACAGAACTTACATCAATAACATGGAAAATGACAAAACTTACATCAATAACATGGAAAATGACAGAACTTACATCAATAACATGGAACAATGACAAAACTTACATCAATAACATGGAACAATGACATATCTGTAAAGATGTTCTTGAGCAGGTCAATATCAGCTGGCCGAGCTCCGACATCGTAGAGTTCATCCAGCTGATCAGCCAGGAAGTCAATGGCCTCTACACACAGATAAAGAAAACAGCAATGATTATAACAACACAAAGAAAACAGCAATGATTATAACAACACAAAGAAAACAGCAATGATTATAACAACCACATCACAGTGTTATCCAGGAATTGTATGGCCTCTACACACAGATAAAGAAAACAGTTATGATTATAACAACACTACCACATCACAGTGTTATCCAAGAAGTCAATGACCTCTACAAACAGAAAACAGCATTCATTGTAACAACACTAGCACATCAAAATAGACTTAGTACACTAGCATTAAGGGAAAAAGTCATGCATAAAAACCATCACACTCCTAGGTGGGTTTTAAATTCATTTTACATCTTAAACCAATTGAACCCATGGTACTGCTTTTTTTTTGGTTGAGTCATAAATCTCCTTGCACTGGCAGACCAATTCATCGATCGACAGTCCGTACTTTAAAATGCAAAATTTAAAAAGTGCGTAACAAGTACTGTTCAACTTGAGTTAAGTCCCCATTATGTCTGTGCCTACAAACAAATTTCTTTGTTCTGTTTATCGTTAGTAATTTAGGGTGATGTAAACATTTCATTAATTCCTTTTCTACTTATGTCCATACCTAGCTATGAATGAAAGAAGAGGACTGGCATACTTAGTAGAATTATAGGCGATAATTCATGCGCAATGGTTCATTAAAATAATAAAATTAACTTTGTTGTTATATTCATGGTCTTTTTTTTTTTCGTCGTGAGTCTGTTGTGTGTACAATTAGCTCAGGAATTTTAGGGTGAGGAGCTAAGGGTTCAAAGAATTTAAAAGCATGTTACAAACTGAATTTCATTGTTAATTTTAGTTTTTAAGGACTGTTTAGTAAATTATAATTCAAATTGATTAAAATACTCATTGAGTTCAGTAAATAGTTTAGAAAGAAATAGATGATTCAAAAAAAGAAAAACTGCAATTTTGAGCAAAGGAGGGTTGTAGTTTGAGGTGTGATGTCATTTTGTGACGATGTGTTAGATGGGAAAGGGTAAAAAAATTATTTTTAAAAAGTGATATCATTTATAGTTGACCCCTAACAACTTGGGAAATATTCAATAATATGTCAATTAGTCATTAAACACTATGTATTAATGATTATTTCATGTATGTGGATGAATTATATTTATAAGCCATACAAGCTGTAGTGAATAATAGGATTGATCTGACTGATGAAAAGCCTTAAATATTGCAATGTCTAGCTGTCCTATGGACAAATGACTGAGACAAACACAGTCCTTACCCCTGGCACTCAGTGCCTCAGATGTTGCTGTAGGCATGGCTGGTCCCTGTTAGAAAACTTTCTCTGTCAAATACAAACATAATGTCAAATATAAATATAAGGTTAAAATTATAACAGAAGTTGCTTGATATAGGCATGGCTGGTCCCTGTTACTCAGTGTTAGAAAACTGTCTCTGTCAAACACAAATATAAGGTTAAAATGTTTTCAGCTCATGCTATAAACATGGCTGGTCTCTGTAAGGCCTGTTAGAAAACTTTCTTTGCCAAATACAAATATAAGCTTAAAACTTTAACAGATGTTGTAGGCAAAAATGTCTCTGTCAAATAATATAAACATAAGGTTTATATTTTATCAGATCCTGCTATAAACATAACTGGCCTCATTTAGAAAACTAAGGTTAAAATTTTCATTTGTTAGGTAGGGCCTATTTTTTAAAAAAGTTAGTTTGGTTAGAAACAGTAGGCCTAGCCTAAAGAACAGTTGTTGCATATGAATGTAGTTAAATAAATTTTCCACACACCAGGTCACACACTATCTCCAAACAGGCTAAAAGATCACATAGACAAATATGCCTAAAGGCCTATTATTATTAGGCCTAATATTAATAAATAGTCCTATTAAATAGTAGGCCTGAGCGTCACACAATCAATGAGTTCAATGACCCAACAAGTTGAACAAGGAACTGAACTGTTTGATCATGAAGAAAAACAAATGTCCTTCAATTTAAGACCTAGATCTAATTAATTAGGCCTATTACTTAATTACTTTGATTAGTACACTACACTGTCTGATCGTTGCAAACACTTTATGTCACCTAGCCGATACAGCGGCAATTTTTTTAGCGTATTTCTCAAAACGCTAAAGTAGGTTCCACAATGCGGAAGTGTTCCATTCAGACTCTTCCTAGCGGCGCCTTCACTACACACCAGACACGCTGTAGGTAAACACGACATCAAAGCCTCGGTTCGCTAGCAGACGTCGTAAAACGCTAGATCTAGTCTTAAATTGCACAAGAAAGCGAGTACAAGGGGAGGAATGTGTGGAGAATGTAATGTTGGAGGAGAAAAAAAGATGTTTCCTGAGACTCACCTGTGTGTTTGTTTACGTTTAAGTTTGTTCTTGTTTTACCTGAGTCACGTGACAGGAAGACAATTAAAAATTGGCCGATTCTAGTCGGAATAAGATACGCATGCGCAATGGAGAGAAACTACGACTTAACGGCGATGTTTTCGATGGTACTGCGCATGCGTGTGTTTACAACCGCAGAACCCTAATACCAACCCTAATCCTATCCTTAACCCTATCCCTAATCCTATCCCTAATCCTAACCCTAACTCTAGCCCTAATCCTATCCCTAACCCTAGCCCTAATCCTATCCCTAACCCTATCCCTAATCCTACCCCTAACCCTCATTCTAGCCCTAACCCTAGCCATAGGTCACTGCGCATGCGCAGAACTATCTTTTGCCGAAAAATCTTATTCCGAGTAGACACTTCGTTAAAAATTTGGAATTGTGGACCCCTTTTTTTTATCCCGGAAAAAATCTATATTTCGAAAACTGTTGCTTCTTATTTAAATGTATTGTAAGTTCTTATAAAAACCTTTTCAATCTATGTAAAAAAAAAATGTTATTTTTTTTTGCATTGAAACAACGTCGAGTCGAAATCTGCAAAACACGACAGATAACCTCAGTCTGTTTCTGGTGAATTATGTTTTGTTTTTTATCGGTTATTTCCCTTTGATCGTTATGTTTCATAGAATGGTGAATAGATTCAAATTAATCATTTTTGTGCTATTTGGTTTTAAAATTTGAATGTCAAACAAGTCGTAAATATTAACAATTTATTTTTCTACATACTAAAAAAAAAATAACAGTAGAAAATAAAACATTAAAAAACCTTTATAATAAAAAGCTTTTAAATGCAGTTAGCATAAATGAGAAAATAAACTCAATTTATTTTTTATTTTTAGCTGTTGGCCCAATGGTAAACATTTTCCTGAGGCATTTGGGGGTTTGTTCTTGGATGGACAAAGGCTATGGAGACAAATCAGAAAGTAAAGCAGGTTGAAATCGTAATTAATGGGCCAAATGGTGCATAGCTTGATGACAAGTTTTTTTAAAAAATTGTGTTGGATACAAACAGTGTTTCTTCCAGACTTTTTTCTCCGGGGGGCACTTGAAATCTTCGGGGGGGGGGGGCGGTAAACTTTCTTTGGGGGGGGGGCGGACACTGTTAAAAGTATATATTTTCTATATAAATTATATAAATTTCATTTCGTTCGGGGGGGGGGGGGCGGTAAAAAATTTTCGGGGGGGGGGGCCTGGAAGAAACTCTGGATACAAAAGTCCCGTCTTAAATTACAATCAAAACCAAAAAGAAGGTACCCTTAAATTGTATTAACACTTTTTTTTGTTAATTATCTATAAACTACATTTAAATGACCAATTCAATATCCAAGAAGACAAAAGAAAATGAAATATTTTTGCTTTTCATGGAAAATAATAATTTATTTGGGAATTTTAAAGGAACGTTTTCATTCAAAGTGTGCTATGTTTAAATGACACGATTTGCCCATAGACTACTAGCCTAGTAAACCGTCAAAACGACCCCCAACAAAACGACCTAGTCAAAATAAATCCGTCAAAAGGGCCCCGGCATATTAGCTCCAGACAAATGGGCTCCCGACAGTTTCCCCCCCCCCCCCCCCCCCCCCCCACACCCAAGAAATTAAGTCTCCCCCCCCCCCCACCCTTACTGAAAGTTTCAAGCGTCCCTCCCTCTCCCCGGAGAAAACTGTTCGAAAGAAACATTGGGTAGGGGGGAGTGTTAGACCCCAAATTCTCACCTGGCGCCCCCCCCCCCCCCTCCATTGTTTCACCTATAAGCTGCAGCCATTTTAACGTTTTTACAAGAATTCGAAAAACACATAAAACATCTTAATCCCTTCCCCCCTCATTGCACGTGTGTATAGACATTCGTGAGAAACGCGCGACAACTTCATACCTGTATTTATATTTACTTCAACAAGATTAAGTCATTAAAAACTTGAATGCCATCTTACAATGTGATAGATTTATATCTAAAAATTGTTATGGATATGTCGCGAAACTGCTTTAAGTAGTGTATTCGTGATAGAATTAAACAATGTCATAGGGATAGGACTTTAAGGATGAGTTGGGATAATGATGTAAGATTTGTTTCATCCTTTTTTTGATAAGTTGGCTTTACAGATGCACTCGGTCGTGTCAGTTTAAATCACTGACTTACCGTGTCATAGTTTTATGTGACGCGGTGTACGCATGAAATATTTCAGCTATTGTGGGGTGTAGCAACAGTTTGATTGTAAGTGTGGTTCTAAATTGTTAACACTACACTCAATACACCTGGTCTAAAAGGTAAGCTTTGTTCTGATGAAATGTTGTTTAAAGAAGGGGAACTAACTACAATAACATTCAGAAGGAGTAGCAACAGTTTGATTGTAAGTGTGGTTCTAAATTGTTAACACTACACTCAATACACCTGGTTTAAAAGGTAAGCTTTGTTCTGATGAAATATTGTTTAAAGAAGGGGAACTAACTACAATAACATTCAGAAGGTGACCCGTGACCCCTTCTGCAGCTGGGTTGATACAAATAAAAACAATATAAAAAATCTTAACAATAACAACATTTGCACTGAAAAAAAAATGTGTTTTTTTTTTAATGAGATCGCTTACAAATATTAGCGAACAAAACTTTTATTAAAGGAACATTGTAGAAATGCCCACCAAAAACAATACAACATTCCACCTGTGGCGTCGCTAGGTCGGGTATCACCAGGTTCGGTACCTCATGGTGTCACCCCATCCCCGGGGGGGGGGGGGGGGGAATAGGGCAGACGACTTTGTATATGGAAGTATCAAGATTTTTTGCATTTTTATAAGTAGACGTAAAGATGTGTTTATTTCTAAGGGGGGAGGGTGCAAATATTTTTGAGTCTCAGTAGAAAGGCTCCAAGATTTTTTAGATATCTGTAGAGGACGCAATGTTTTCGGTGGTTTTCTTTGGAGGCTTTAAGATAGAGGCGAATGTTGGAGAACATTATCTGCCGCTGTTTATAGATAATATCAGGATACGTTTGGTTTATCTTAACTCTAGCTGTTTGTTCAGTGTGGGTCCTTAACGCCTTCGTCAGCCCAGGCATTGCAGAGGCCTGTTGACTTTCCGGCGTTTCTGTCTATAGATCTCAGCGTGAGACGTACGGTAGGGGGCGCCCACATCATCACATGTCAACGATTACCCAATTACATGACACCTTGCTGATTAATTTATTTTTAAGTACAACACGATGTTAATTAAAAAATATCTAATAATAAGTTTAAAGCACATAGCTACACAAACATACTTTACATCCGGTCCTCTTATAACAAATCACATGATGGAGAAAAAAAAATCAATTAACGTTTTTTAATACGACAAAATTATTCCCCAAGTTAACTTTGGATCCCGTAATTTAAGTCGATATTTGAAAACATCTGATGACTATAGAGGCTGGTTCGCTGGTCTGGGATGTGGGTACAAACCCACTCATCGCGTCATTTGTTTTGGTAGCGATGTAGGCCAGAGTTTGGCCCAGAATGTCTTCAGTTATTTCGTCAGGATCGCGGTGTATCTGGGGTCTACAAGGTCAATTGGTGACACAACAGAGGGATACAGGTTCAAGTAGTGATACAACGGGGGGATACAGGGCCAAGTGGTGACACAACAGAGGGCTACAAAGTCAATTGGTGATACAACATAGGGATACAAGGTCAATTGGTGATACAACGGGGGGATACAGGTTCAAGTAGTGATACAACGGGGGGCTGCACGGTCAACTGGTGATACAACGGGGGGATACAGGTTCAAGTAGTGATACAACGGGGGGCTGCAAGGTCAACTGGTGACACTATAGTGGGCTACAAGGTCAATTGGTGACACAACAGAGGGCCACAAGTTCAACTGGTGACACAACAGCGGGCTACAAAGTCAACTGGTGACATTATAGAGGGCTACTTTGTTTTGTTCCTGCTATTCAGGCCTATATTGTAAAGCACCACCTGGCCATAGAGGCTCATTCGACGGTCTCGGCTATAGGTGCAAGCCCACTCATACAGTCTATAGGTGCAAGCCCACTCATACAGTCTAAGATGCTTTACTGATTTGGTCCGGAATGTCTTCAGTTATTTCGTTAGGATACCTGGTAGGATACCTTTAGGATACCTGTTAGGATACCTGTTAGGATACCTGTGATTCTAGTGTTTCGAGTTCAACTGGTGACACACCTGAGGGCTACATTAATGAAAGGTGACACACTGAGGGCTACATTAATGAAAGGTGACACACCTGAGGGCTACATTAATGAAAGGTGACACACTGAGGGCTACATTATTGAAAAATGACACATCTGAGGGCTACATTAATGAAAGGTGACACACTGAGGGCTACATTATTGAAAAATGACACATCTGAGGGCTACATTATTGAAAAATGACACATCTGAGGGCTACATTAATGAAAGGTGACACACTGAGGGCTACATTATTGAAAAATGACACATCTGAGGGCTACATTAATGAAAGGTGACACACCTGAGGGCTACATTAATGAAAGGTGACACAGCTCAGGGCTACATTAATGAAAGGTGACACACCTGAGGGCTACTTTAATGAAAGGTGACACAGCTCTACCACCAGGATAGATATACCTATAACAAATGCAGGTGTACATATTTGAGTGGTGATTACTTGGCTCTGCTGTCGTCCCACAATGGTGCGACACATTTTAATTCCCCAAATTGAGAGATTTTCTTGGGGAAAAGATTCAACTATTGAATTATCTTTTAGTAAAGTATGACGCTCCACTTTATACTTCATCATATTCTATAATTTCATAATCCTTTATAGCTATATGCGATTGTCCTTATCATCTGTTTTCCAAACGGTGATTTGCTGTCCTCCGATGAGGTGCTGTCCGTTGAGGTGCTGTCCGGTGAGGTGCTGTCCGGTGAGGTGCTGTCTGATGAGGTGCTGTCCTGTGAGGTGCTGTCCGGTGAGGTGCTGTCCTCCTGTGAGGTGCTGTCCTGCTGTCCTGCGGTAATGTATTTAACTAGTGCTAGTGAGGGCGCCAAAACTTTAAGAGCAACATAAAAACATCCAGATGTAATTACATATTTAATTTATGAAGATTTATACCGTTGTTATATAGTTACATTCAATGATTTCAAATAATTAAAATTGCTGTGTTTTGTAAAACGTTTAGTTAAATAAATTATAATTTTAACAACATAAATTTTTAGTAAAATAAACTTAAAATTGAATTGTTTATTACTTCCCTTATAATCAAATATTATTTGTTCAAGGGATTGAACTCAACACTTTTATAAGCTGTTAAATGGGGTCAGATATTCAATTAAAAGAAATGTGGAGCACTATTCATAATTGTTCAAAACATTAGTATTAAAAGTGTTTCTCAACGTTTTATTACTATGCATATGTTACAAGATTATTAATATTTTATTAAATAGATTTTAATTACAGAACTATTAGTTGTATTAGATTATTAGGTTTTCAAGGTGCGGCTGTTCTAATTACTTTCAGTAAGATTAGCCAGTTTGTTGAAAGAACCCTTTAAAATTTGCATTAAATAAAAAAGAGAAAATTATTTTATAAACTTTAATGCTTAAAGCATTTCAATGTTACAAATGTGTGAAAACTTAGATACAACACATGAAAGGGATAGCTGACTTGAGAAAATTACAAAGAACCAAGTTACAAAGAACAGTACGTAACTCATCTACGTAACTTTTAATATTAGTGTTGGTTGTACTTTCTTCCAGTTTTTACACTTAAATGATGGCGGGGGTCGGTGAGGGGTGGTTTAGTGAAGCACCAAGATTTTCTTTATAAATCTAGGCGAAAAAGCTTCAAAAGTGGGCACAAACAATTTGGACCGGATTCAGAGAGTACGTGCTTCCACCTTGGAAAACTGAATGGGGCCAGCTCGTGTTGTGAAAAAACCTCTGATTTATTCGTGTACAGGTGGATAAAAAACATGTGTCCATCAGAACTACAGTAAAAAACAATTGTTTTCCTTATATATATATATATATATATATATATATGTATATATATATATATGTATATATATATATATATATATATATATATATATATATATATATATATATATATATATATATATATATAAATATATATATATATATATATATATATATATCTGCGGGGGAGGGGGTGATGAGGGGGGGGGGGGGGGTTCTAGTTCCGCCACTATGTCATTGGAAATATTTGCTCCAAAAACGTTAAGAACCACTTGTCTAAATTTAAACAATAATTATTACTTACTATAATAATTAACAAAGATAAAAAATATAATTTGTCCTTGAAAAACTCAATGCACTTGTCTGAAAAATCTAAAAATAGCAACCACCGCATGACATCACCTCGTCAGCTTGTATTGTTTTTTACACGTGTTTAAATTTGGATCCGGTTTTTCCCCTAATTAGAATTCCCGTGGCTCGTGCTAATTAAATCCAAAAACTCCCAAGATCGGGTTTAAGTTCTGTTGATTTTTTTTAACAGAGATTTTGTCGTTAAGAGAAAGTTGAAAAAAAAAATATTAGAGATCATGTAAACGCTACTTGGCGGTACTGGCTGTCCAAAACAGACACGAAATGTTTGGGTATAAATATCAGCCGGGTTAGAAACACACAGTTGTGTGAGCAATATCGGAGTATAACATCGTGCTAAAATATCAGAGTGTGTTAATTGTGTAAGAGAGTTACAGATAGAGGAGTGGGGTGGGGAGAGTGTTCAGGTGTATTGGGAGTACCAGTAAGTCACGTGACATGTTTTCGTGAAGTGTCAGTGTGACATGTCAGATGACATTTGGTGTGAAATTCCATTTGGTGCGAAATGCCATTTCGTGTGAAATGCCATTCGGTGCGTAATGCCAATTTGAGTGAAAAAGTATTTGATGTGAAATGCTAATTGATGTAAAACGCCGTTCAGTGTGAAAAGCCATTGGTGGAAATGCTGGTTGATGTGAAATGCCATTGTGTAAAATGCTATTCATGTGAAATGCCATTTGATGAGAAATGCCGTTTAGTGTGAAAAGCCATTGGTGGAAATGCTTGGTGATGTGAAAAGCAATTTGGTGTGAAACCATTTGGTATGAAATGCCATTTGATGTGAAATGACAAATTTTATATATAATATATCCGTACAAATGTTATATATAATATATCCATTCAAATTTTATATAGAATATATCCATTCAAATGTTATATAGAATTCTACAGATGTTGCTCCGTGTGATGATCGATGGCGTGGGTAATACAGTAACGGTCTGGGTAAGTCAGGTGTCATGGCGAATACAGTGCTCAGTTTAGTAACGTACTGAATGTTTGTGTACACTGGTCATCTATTAATGACGTCACACAGTTTTAGCCGATATCTTAAAAAATACAAATTATTTGCAACGTTAAATTTGTTACCCCACCCCCTCGTTCGAACGTTTCTTACAACACAACCACCCCACCACCTTCACTACATTAAATATCCCATCATCACAACCATCCTTCCCCAAATAGATGTTGTATATATATATATATATATATATATATATATATATATATATATATATATATATATATATATATATATATATCCCCTAACAACAACATGGAGCCCACAAAGTTGTCATAATTAAGACAGATTAAGACAGCCACAAGCTACTATTGACAAAAAATCATTAAATATATATATATATATATATATATATATATATATATATATATATATATATATATATATATATATATATATATATTTATATATATATATATATATTTATATATATATATATATATATACATATATATATAAATTTTACTTTGTATATCTGCCACCAGTGGCCCATTACTTGCACTGTTAAAAAACAATGAGCACCAAGATGTCACGCTTCATTAGCTGCCGCCTCTCCACGCTTCACTAAACAAACTTTTCAAATGTCAAGCCGCTCACCATACAATTATTTCAATCACCTGACGTCACCACCTGGCTCGGCACGACCAAAACTTAGACTTAACACACAGGTGAAACATCAGGAAAAAATTTCACCTGGAAATCTTGAGTTGAAAAAAAATCCTGAAACTACCTACCATTGTCAACGTCATTGCTCTGTGTACATATTAACTTGTCTTAAGTGAACCCGTTGGCGGGGCGCCTAGGTGACACTGTCACTGACAACACTGACAACACTGACAGCATGACATAGGATTATATAGTTAGGCTGCTCGGTGATGTACTTCACATAGAGTGAAGAAACCAAGTCAAGTCTAAGTTGTCTATACATGGATCTCTAGAATATGGACCTGGACGTTTAGTCCACACCTACATAGTGAGAAGATCTACAACTGCAAGCATGTTTTAGGTCAGAGAAATACTTGCAGACGTTTTCTGTGGATGCCAAAACAAATTGAAAAGTTTCGACAAAATGGATTTTAACCAATTTATTGTGGTTGTGTTCATGGTAAGGTTTACGTATTACTTTTTTACACGTGAAAATATTTATTAAAATATTGTATTGGCCAAGCTTATCTAGCAAATAGTTTTTTTTAATTAATAAATAATAGACGTATATTAAATTATATATATATTTATATATATATATATATATATATATATATATATATATATATATATATATATATATATATATATATATATATATATATATATATATATATATATTAAGTAGATATTTTGCCAGACTATTTGGCAACTTGGTTTAATACGGAATAGAAACAAATCTGGCCAAACATGACACTTGTTCCGTAGTCTTGAACTTAAAACATCAGAGAAGATCTACTTTACCTGTTATTGTTGATAATATAATTAGAAATTATAGTTTAATTTAATTAGTTTATTTAAAGAAAAAACAATACAACTCACAGTCTTATAATGGATCAGGCCTAAACTTAAAATGGCCGTTGTTTATTTTTATCTAGGTCACCGTGACCCCCGCACTCACCCAGCAGCTGTGCCGGCAATCCGCTGACGTCATATTCGTCATAGACGTGTCCTACTCCATCACCCACCCCCGCTTCTACGGCTACGTCCTCCCCTTCATCCAGAACGTCATCTCCGACTTCGACATCGGGCCCGCCGACAACCAGATGCAGGTCGGTGCTGTGCTCTTCAGCGACAAAGTCCGTCTGGCATTTCACCTGAACGACTTCCGGAACCGTCCTTCCCTCCTGCAGGCGGTCTCCGAGATCTACTACTACGGCGGGGAGACCTTCACGCATGAAGCGCTGGCCTACGTCAACAGCAATATGTTCACTTGGGAGAATGGCGGGAGACCCAACGCGGGGAAAATCGTCATCCTTGTGACCGACGGACGGTCTTACAGCAGCAGTAAGACACTGGCGGAGGCGGAGACTATCCGGAGTAACGGTGGGATCATCTTTGCCGTGGGGGTCGGGATGGCAGACGAGAAGGAACTGAGGGGGATCGCCAATTTCCCGCCCGAACAATACGTGTATTACGTCAGTGAGTTTCAGTCGCTCAACAGCATCAAGGATGCTTTGTCAGGAAACACATGCATGGCAGCTCCTGTAAGTCAGTCATTACACAAACACTTACATCACAGGTCATGTAAGTCAGTCATTACACAAACGCTTACATCACAGATCATGTAAGTCAGTCATTACACAAACACTTACATCACATATCATGTAAGTCGATCATTACACAGACGCTTACATCACAGGTCATGTAAGCCAATCATTACACAAACACTTGAATTACAGGTTATGTAAGTCAGTCATTACACAAACACTTACATCACACATTATGTAAGTCAATTATTACACAAAAACTTACATCACAGATCATGTAAGTCAGTCATTAAACAAACAATTACATCACAGGCCATGTAAGTCAGTCCTTATACAAACACTTACATCACATGTCATGTAAGCCAATCATTACACAAACGCTTACATCACAGGTCATGTAAGCCAATCATTACACAAACACTTACATCACAGGTCATGTAAGTCAGTCATTACACAAACACTTACATCACAGATAATGTAAGTCAGTCATTACACAAACACTTACATCACATATAATGTAAGTCAGTCATTACACAAACGCTTACAGCATATCTCTTGTAAAACCGCAATCACACAAACTCTTACAGCACAACTTCCCTAGCCCATTAGCTCAAACCTTTCAACATGACACACAGAATACAAGATGTTCATTATATTAGTATATATAGATAATACATCTATTTCATTTTTAGAGGAAAGATTTAAATATTAATGTTTCAAGCTTTATTAAAATAGTATTTTTATAGCCATGAATTGTAGGCCTACACTCAGATAAAAAACAAATTGTTATTTTTTTACCTTGTTTCAACCCCAGATGTACAAAGATTTCGAGAGCACTTCCCTCCTCTGGTACAACCAGCCGCCAGAGACGTTCATGACGCCTGCACCATTTACTGACAACCCCTTCAACCAACCACCCGTGTTTAATGACAACCTTTTCGAGCAACCACCAGTCTACACTGACAACCCCTTTAACCAACCCCCCGTTTTGGACACTACCGGAACCAGAAGTGTCTGTAGACCGCAGGCAGCTGACGTTATTTTCGTCATAGACGAATCCGATTCTATCGGCATCGACACGTTCCATCGCGAGGTACTCCCGTTCATAGAGAACATCGTGTCGGAATTTGACGTCGGGCCTCTAGAAAACCAGGTCCACGTCGGCGTCGTTCTGTTTGGGGGCTGGGCCAGGGTGGGACTCAACCTTAACGCCCACCTCAACAAAACGACGCTGCTAGCTGCCATATCACAGCTGACCTACCAAGGCGGGACAACCAATATCCACAGAGCGCTCAAAGTCGTCAGAGAAAACATGCTGACCGTGTTCAACGGAGCCAGACCCGGGGTGCCCACGTTTATCGTGATCCTGACAGACGGCAGAACTGTTGAAAGCAGACGTGCGGTAGAGGAGGCCGACACCCTGCGTCAGAGAGGTGCTAGAGTCATGTCTGTAGGAGTCGCGGAGGCTGACTCCGATCAGCTGGGGAGGATCTCGGACAAACCCAAGAGCGAGAATGTCTTCTACGTCTCGGGGTTCGACGCCCTGAGCGGTTTAAAATCAGAAATCACGTCAAGAATCGTTGTATGTGTGCAGGTCTTTGAGAGCTTTACCCCATCATAGTGGCAATTTTGTGGACAATGGGAGCTTAAGCTTTTTCTGGAGTTTCGGAGTTTAGCCATGTAGTGCTATCAGACGGGATGCAGCATCTTAGATTTATGTGTGTGTTTACCAGATTACAAGTTTGCGCGTAGGCTCCATCTAGTTTTGGTCTTACTTTTAGATGGCTCGGAACTTCAAACAAAGAAACAAAGAAGTATAACGGGTTTTATTCACTTCATTTAAATATATGTAGCAACCGAATTTATTTGATTTTTGTTAATTATGAAGTCGCGTTTCAATGTAAATTTTCATATGAACTAGTAAGTAAAATTAAACATTGATAATACGATTACAATCTTATTTTAACTTCTTAAAGAGCAAGTAAAATGTTTAAATCCTGATAAATATAATGTTTACAGCTCAACGTAGACTGTCAAAAACTTTAGTCGCAAAATAGTATTTGTATTTCTCAAGGTTTAAAAAAAAATAAACTTCGTTTTTTAAAGTTTCCGATATTTTTACTTATAATTTGTCCCTTCCATAAGTTAAATGATCAAACGTGTGCTAGGTGTGGGTTTGTTGTATAGTTATATTTAAGTTGAACGTGTATCGACAATTGTTGGCTAATATCTGGTAAAATGTCAAAGGTCATACCTAGCTATGCCCTATTGGCACAGTATGTCGCAGAGACCATTATGTGCTTACACTTAATTGTCTGTGCTGATTTTAAAAACATTATTAATATGTCTGTATGTATGGCTTGCTGGGTATGTATTGTTTGATTTTTTTAAATTTATGTTTTTTATATTTTTCTATAATTGGTAGAAGAAGAAATGTTTCTGTGGTCTGATTATTGAAATTATTTTCAAATGATGTTTGCAGATGAAATAATACAAAATAAAAAATACATGTAAACCTTCGTGCTTATAATTTGTACTAATAATTTGTTCTGATTTAATTATTTCATTGTTTTTAAGCCTTAAGCGTTAATCTTCAACTAACGTAGGATATTTATTTTTGTTTACAAACATAAACCAACAAAATAGAATTTTTCGTATGTTTGCTTATTTTTGTCTTTCTTCGAGCGGAACAAATGTAATAAAGTTAACATAATTTTTGTTGTGTGTGTTTGTGATCTTTTTACCATATACTGGTGCTTATGTAGTGGACAACTTCTGACAACATACAGATGACAACTCAAAATTACGGAAGTATGTCTAGACTTGCAATAAGAGTCATTATGTAATGGCAAGGACAGTCCATTATTTACACACAACTCTACTCAAAAGTAGATGGGATGTACAGCTGTAGCTTATTCAATGTGCACCTCTACGCATATTAGTGAAATCTGACTTGGGCACAGATTACTATAGACACACATCTGCAATAGCTAAAGCAGCACTTGGTTGCATGGTGATAACAACAAACACATCCCATCACAACAAACAACAGCGACCAACTTAACTAGAAATATTTTTTTTATTTTAGTAACAAGTCTATTGGGGTGTTTTCCTAGTAAATAGGGCCTAGGCATACCTTCCAAGTATACAAGAATAAAGAAGAGTTTTATTGGGCGTTCGCGCAGTGGAACGACTAAAAACTTTACAAAGACTAAAGTCACATGCATATGATCTGTGTAAATGTTGACTAACAAAATATTCGAGGATAAAGAATCTGTAGAATTGATGCGGATACGTTTACTTCATTTTTCTTGTAGATACTAATGAGGTCACTGATTGTTACTGGCCTAAATACAACAGTTGTCTTGTCACCTTTTGTTGTCCTGCCTTGAACTTTACGGTTTATTGACCTGTAATTGACCGTAACGTTTTATTGACATGTCCTCGACCTTCACATTTAATTGACCTGTATTCAACCTTCACATTTTATTGACCTATCTTTGACCTACACGTTTTACCGACCTGCCCTTGAACTTTACGGTTTATTGACATGTCCTTGACCTTCACGTTTTATTGACATGTTCTCGACCTTCACATTTTATTGACCTATCTTTGACTTTTACATTCTATTGACCTGTCCTTAACCTTCACGGTTTTTATTGACCTGCCCTCAACCTTCACATTCTATTGACCTGCCCTTGACCTTCACGTTTAATTGACCTGTCCTTGACCTTCACATTTTCTTGGCCTGCCTCCCACACGCCCTGAAGAGCGGCAGGGTGTAGAAGACGTCCCGGAAGCTTGAGCTCATGGTGAGGTAGACGAACATGTTGACGCTGGAATTGGCCGCCTGGAAGACGAAGGTGATGCCGGCCACTGAGAGGTGCACGTTGGACTGGCGCCCCACCACCGTGTACTGGGGGTCAAGGATCATCCAGAAATAATGCAGCACGGCCGGTACGGAGCTCACGATGTAGATAGACGACAGAGCCACGACAAGTTTGATCACTTTCATATCCTTAGCGCCAGTCGGGTCTTTTGATTTTTCCGAAACTTCCGGTTTTTGATTCACGGATCCGGTATCTTTTACAGAAATTGGATATTTCATTTCCGTAGATATGTTTGTATCTGGGAGTGGGGTCTTAACCGGGTCAAAATTTCTCGTAACTGTTTTCCGCCATTTTGATTTCCCGTGAAGTTTAATCGCCAGTACTGCAGTGCAGACGATGACTAGACCGAAGCTTGTGAAGGGAGAGAAGACGTTGTTGATGCTAAGAGCAACCCGTTTAATCTCATCCCGGTTGGCCCCGATCAGGCTGAGGGCAACCACGGTTTTGTTTTTGGCCACGTCGAACTTGCTGTCCAGCGCGGCCGTCCAGTAGATGGGCGCCACCCCAGCGATGACGCCCACGTAGATGCAGACGATGATGAAGAGGGAGCGCCCGTGGGTCAGGACGCTCTTGATCTTGAGGGGCATGGCCACACACAGGCAGCGTTCGACGGCGATGAAGGCGGTGATCCAACCGGTGATACGGGCAAAGGCCGTGTTGGGCCATCCTGTGGTCAGGTAAAACACCTGGGAGAGGTTCATTAGCTCATTAGTAGGTTGTATATGCATGCACTATTTATCTTTTAAAATAAGGTTATATATGCATAGACTATTCATGTTTTCAAATCTATATATATAATTCTCTTCTGGGATCAGTTAGAAAACAAGCTGCAAGCGCCTCCTTGCAGTCCCCTCTCTTTCTCTCTATCACTACCACCCACCCCACCCCAACATTGTCTGGTGAGCGGTGTTCACTCTAAATTTTTACAAAGCTAAATGTTTACAAATCGAAGAACCGTACAGCCGGGTTTCTATTAGGGGCAGATAATTTAGTTCGATTTTAAACTTACAGGAGGTAACTAAGAAATAACTAAGAGGAGGCTGCTTTCACGGGGGGGGGGGGGGGGGGGTGTAGGGTCGGGGTTAGGGGAAAGTGGGGGGGGGGGGGGGGGTTAGTGTTTTAAAGCAAATATTTTCAGTGGCATCATTGGTACTGTCGAATTTACAAATTATGAATTACTGAAAAGTAGAAAATAAAACAACTAAATAGCGGCGTATGATACGCTGCGGGTCGGCTCGTATTCATTAATACTTTTCCGTGCGGTTCAATTTTAGTCTTATGCACGCAATGTTCGTTTTATTAGCGTACGATTTACCACTCTCTTTAAGATTTTTATAGCAAATACTTTTTCAACGTGTTCATCAATGTTACGTGCAAACTTTTTAACGTGCTAAATAATGTAGCGCATTTATGAAACAAATTGTCTGAAAGTATCTACGGTTAAAGAACACTTTCATAAAACGGCTATCGCTGTCATAGGCAAGATTTTACAGAAAACTTTACAGCAGAAACATTAAGTGTTTGCTATTACTGTCATCAGAGGCGTAGCGAGGGGGGGGGGGGGGGGTGGGGGGACATATGTCCCCGGGCGCCGACGTTAGGGGGCGCCAAATTGGGTTGGAAAAAAAATTAAAGTTTGAGGGGGCGCAAATCGAAAGTTTGTCCCCGGGAGCCGGGAAGGGTCGCTACGCCTCTGACTCATAGAATTTACATTGTTTTTACAAACTGACCGTTAGTTTATTCATTTAAATTGGCTTTCCCGTCAGACTTCACGCTCGAGTAAATGTAAAACGTTAAGAGCATTAAGTTACTGCACTCACACTCACACACACACACACTTACGCACACTCACACAGACATACATACACAGTCATTCAGTCTCATACACACTAAATCTCTCACACTCAAACACACTCACACACAGCCTAACACAGACATACACAAACAATCACTCAGTCACACACACTAAGTCTCTCACACTCAAACACGCGCACATACTCAGTACAACATACGCACACACACTGGTACTCACGCCAATGGGGTCAAAGGGCACACTGGAGTCGATGAGCCAGGGGTTGTTGCCCACACACAGACATGCCAGAGATACGAGAGACAGCAGGTCTGAGACGGCCATCCCCATCAGGCTGATGTTGATGGTACGCTGGAAACCTTGTCTGCCCAGCACGATGATGGTGATGGTGTTGGTGAAGATCCCAAACAGAGAGATCAACTCGGACAGCACTACCACATTGACCACCGTGAAGACTGTCTCCGTCTGCTTGCTGAGCATCTGCTGAGGCCCCGGGGAGGGGGTGGTGGTGGTGGTGGTGGTGGTGACGATAATGATGGTCTGGTTCTCCATCATTCCCCTAGAGCTGTCACCTTTGCACCCTTGCTGTAGGAATTTTATCACACTTACAAATATCGGCGAATTTTTTTTATTTTTTATTTTGTCCTGTTCTTTGAAACACGGTAGATTTGGAATAAACCTAGAGAAGCACAAAACTGAAATAAACATCAAATGATCTTTTGAGATCAAGTTGCTGACAAAATTAATGCATCATGCAAGTCTAAAAATAGTATTGATAGACAACGAAAACAGTAACACTTGCGCACATGTGACATGTGTGATATAATGTTAACGACTTGTATATTATGTAAACTATGCATAAACATTATCATAATTGTTACACAACTACTACTTGTTAAAATTATAATTCCAATAAAAATCTAAGTCTCTTTTAAGGTTACAAACTTCATTTATCTAATTCTGCTTAAATATAATAGTCTGTTAAACTATAATTGTGTAATATTGGCCTACATGCTGTTATGTTTGTCTTGTATTATTCTCAGTCTAATTCGAATAAGAATGAATTTAATTTGTCGGTGTTGTTTGCAATCCTATCCTATAATTCAATAATTTAATTTTTTAAAAATTATTTTTAGACTTTTACTGTTTGAAAACAGTGTGTAATTACAGGTTTGGTTTTAAATCAGCCTTCTATAGTATAACTTTTCAAAGTGTCGGTCCACGGGGCAAGTGAAGAAGAGTTCCACTGTTTCTGTAACCTCGGCATGTGAAGGGATAGTGTTGCCAGCACTACGCCAAGCCGCCTTTACTTTCCGCAAATTTAGTTAGGTACTCATCAAAGCTGGGTAGACTCCGAGACGTTATACTGACTTAAACCCGGTATAGATTAACTACACATGACATCTGTACCCCAATACAATCTTAATCTAAGGTTTCATATTTTTTTCTCTACAATGTGTTTCCCTACCACCCAAGTCTCACTACCAAAACTTAAGTTCCCACGTATTCATTTGTTTCAATCTTTCAGACAAACTGTCTTTCTTTTTATATAAATGTTACCTAATCCACTATAAATCTAAACCAGAATGATGTTGAGCATAAGCCTAACTCAAGCACCACACAACTAACCTCAACCTTAGCCACAAACTACACCAAGTGTAGCTAGTAACACAAATCTTAACCTCAACCTACGCCAAATATAGTTAGTAGGTTACCACACAACTAACACCAACTTTAGCCAAAAAACCACGTCAAACGTAGTTAGTAGTACACAACACAACTAACTCCAACCTTAGCATCAACTTACGCCAAATGTAGTTAGCAGGTTAACACACAAAGAAAATAATTACAAAAATTTAACTGAAAAAAGTCGATGTCAGAATGACTTCAAGTCAACACTTTTAACGCTTCACTAATTAAGTTAATTATTTGTTGACGTGGCTTAAACCTAGCTTAAATAATTAGTTTTATCTTTGATGATTATTGACAATATCCAGAGAGCAAGACATCCGCGCACGACTGAATTCATAATACGGCTGAGTGATTTCAACTGGATAACATCTATACATCTTCATTATTCTTCATCCTGTACGATTTAATAAATAAATACCCTGCCTTTGCGTGGCGTTTCAGAACGATCAATTCATTAAACAACAGTATTAATTATTGTCTTTTGGCGTCTACGATGCATACATTTTCTCGCTGTAAAATAATTGTACCCAATTAAGCGTGTCGATGTCATTGCTAAGCTGAAGCACAAGCAGCAAGAAGGATGACATTGGTTTACCTTTGTTCTAATGTTGACTGTTTTCTTTCTATAATTTTTCTTCGTGCTAATTTCAGCGTCTCGCCTCAATGTTTTGAATAATTATTATGCAAATATTTCTTTTCTTTCCGTCGTAACGCTTTAAGGATTGTGAGGGGATAGGGGTTAAAATAATAATACCCCTAGACGAAGGCCGACCTATTTTTTTTAATACCATGTTTTCGTCAAACTTTTATTCTTTTTTGTATGGGTAGAAAGAACGTGTCATTTTCTTGTGTTTAGATTTGTTCAAACATTGATTGTTTTGAATCACAAAGCGGCCATTAAACTGCGCCACGGAAGATTGTTTTGCTCACCCTAAGTCTATAAATTACCGAAAACTTCTTACTCTGCAACCTGATTCCACCTTCAACCTGGTTTTTGCGACGTTTGAATTTCTGGTCTCTTCAAAAATAACTATAAGTTATAATGGAATCACTTTGTCAACTTCAAAAGTGTGCATTTGTTTTTCAACGTTGTGTAGGCTAAACAGTTTGACCGTGTTTCCAAGGTTACAAAATGATGTAACCAGAAAATATTTGCCATCTTTTCAATTTATCGACTTCAAAGTAGCTAGAACAATTTTGAAGTGTTTTTTTTTAATTTGTGTAGCCGTGTATATAAAGTGTGTTTTAATCAAGATTTGTGAAGCTGTAACTAATCCGTAGTCATGTATAGGGGACGTAATCCTAGATTTAAAGTTAGACATCGTTAGGGGACGCAATCCTAGAGTTAAAATTAGACTCATCACAGACTGTTAGCAAAGACTTACAATTAATACGATGTTTCAATGCATGCGTCAAAGTCACACTTGTGTTTTACTGTTTTATCACAAAACAGCTATGCCACTAAATCTGACATATTTATCGTGTCAATAAATACATATAAACACTACTTCACCTGCCTTATGTACCTCTTGGTCTGAGAGGTACTTCACATATTTTTTCATTGATGACCAAACCTTTTTTTCCGACAAACACCGAAACAAAATGAATCGGCTTAAAAACTTGATGTTGTGTTTCTGCAATCAACTCGACTTGTTATCTATCATCAAAATTATCATCATCATTATCATTTTTATCTAACAGCTGTAGAGATACGGGTCGTGCTTCAATAAAAACTATCAACATTGATGTTTAATTATAAACATTGGTGTTTAATTATCAACGTTAGTGTTTAGTTGTCAACATGGGTGTTTAATTATCAACATAGGTGTTTAATTATCAATATTGTTGTTTAATTATCAACGTTCGTGTGTAATTATCAATATTGTTGTTTAGTTATCAATATTGTTGTTTAATTATCAAAATATTGGTGTTTAATTGTAAATATTGATGTTTAATTATCAACATTGGTGTTTAATTATCAATATTAATGTTTAATTTGTTTATCAATTATATTTTAGTTCCTTTCACGACATGTGGTGAATAAATAGTATTTAAATTAGTTGCATCTTTCGCTGAGATCTACATAAAAATTTGATACTAGGCACCACATAACAACATTTATCCGCAGAATAGTTATATGTAACTAAAATGTTTTAGTTGTCCTGTATAACATGAGCAGTGTACCTTATTTTATATTTAAACCAAAAGCAATGATTACTGATGTATTAGCAACTTAATTAAAAGTTTAAAAAATTGGACATCGTTTTAGAATTTTAGAGCTATTTGTAGGCCTACACATTTTATTATGCCTGAGTTTTTTTTATCTATGTGTAAACTGTTGAATTAATTGTTGTTTTTTTTTGTTTTGTTGTTTGGAAGAGTTTTTTTCAGGCATCCCCCGAAGAGATGCCTGAAAGAAACTCAGTCTGATACAGCTCCCGTGGAGCCAGGATAAAACAGATACAGCTCCTGCACAGCTTCACCATACTGCTACCATACTTCTACAATACTGTTACCATACTTCTACCATACTTCTACCATACTGCTACCATACTGCTACCATACTGCTACCATACTGCTACCATATAGCTCTCATACTTCTAATTACATACAACTTCCATACGCTTCCAAAGTATCACCGCCGTACTGTATATATACTTCATGTAAAATAATACGTGCAATTAAACACATCTTTTTTATCCTTTACCTTTAGAGGTCATTTACTGTAACATGACCTTCGGAGCAATATTCTTGGCATTTAGAAACGAATTCCCTCTTTTTTTTTACTTTCTCGTATATACGAAGTATAGAGAAAGTCTTGTAATCGTGCAAAAAAAAAAAATCGAGATTTTTGTAAATCTTGACGTTTTAGGGCTCCCTGAGTCGGAAAAACAAAGTTTTGCAATCTTGTCCGTATTTTTGTGGATATGTGTGTCTGTGTGTGTGTGTGCGTAAACACGATAACTTGAGTACCGTTACAGCTAGGTTGATGAAATTTCTAATATAAGTATTATATCAAAATCGTAGATCCGTTTCAACTTTTGATCGACTTCCGATAACCGGACGTCTAACGTTTTCTACTTTGAATTTCTCAAAAGCCTATAACTTGAGTACTATTTCAGATAGATAAATGAAATTTAACATGTAAGTAAAAGTTCTAATTCTCTGCCTTCTATCAAATTTTGAGTAATTTCCGTCTATCGGAAGTAGTAATTTACGCTATTTACGATTTCTCAAAAACGCATGTGAATTTATAAAGTACTAATAATATCCCGCTCTATTAAACACATTTTATTTGGCGTTCACTTGGTGTGCAATTCTTTTTTTTTTATGAGATTCTATTCTATTATAAAAAGTTTAAGTAATTAAAAATGGATTAAAAATATTGTCTATGTCCCGAGTTGCCATCCCTCGTAGTGTTATACTAGAATATTCGAGAAAGTTTAGGGGAGATCACTCCCGGTTTATTTTTAACTGTTTTTAAATAAAACAACTAGATTCTAATCGCAAACCAACACAGGTTTTTATTTTTTTTTAAACTCGATAACATGTTAAAAACTATTTGAAAAAGATTCTAAAAATATGTAGGCCCTAGTGAAAATTTAAAATAAGATTTAAAAGGAACAAAACTTAAAAAATGAAAAAGTGCTTAGTGACATTAGCAGATACCTGACGAAACATTTGAGTTAGCCGTAGGTTTGCTAGGCTTTCTTGGACTGTTTGTGTAGATGTTTTGTACTAGTCTTTGTGCAGTGTGGTAGACAGACAGTGATCAGAGAGAATAAAAACGTTTTAAAATAAATTAGACGTAGCGAGTTCAAAAAATAATAAAAAGTGTACTAGAATCTGGGTAGAGTACTAGCTGTATGGCTGTGTGGGTGAGTACTAGCTGTATGGCTGTGTATGGTAAGTGATATAATGTATTGCTGTGTAGGGTTATACTTGGTGTATGGCTTTGTAAATTAGTTCTAGCTATAGATGTATGGCTGAGGAAGATGGTGTTAGCAGTGTAGCTGTATAGATACGTACTAGCTGTGGCTGTGAAGGTCAGCAATAGCTGTGGCTCTGAAGGTTAGTACTAGCCGTGGATTTGAAGGTTAGTACTTGCTATATGGCTGTAAAGGTAAGTACTAGCTGTAGTTGTAAACTCTATGACTCTTGGCAAATTGTACATGCGGGTTCAAAGTTCAAATAGCTGTTTACCTCCCTTTTTAAATCAACCGATAGCTTCTTTACGGGAGATAATCAAGTTTACTTATGGGGACATAATCAGCGTTGCATATCGTGGTTATCTTATCCTGGCCCCTTCCTCCTCCACTTTCTTAAATAAAACGCAACTTTCGTTTACAGGCCCGGTGTTACGGGGTTTGTAGGAATGTTGGTCAGGAGCACGTAACTCTCTTCGTGTAAACAAATACCGCTACGTGAGTTGTCCCCCTTTTATAGAAATATTTCAGATTTTATTCAGATATGAGCCACGTGTCTATATGGGTGACTGGTCTATAGGTGTCAGGGGTGGTAGGGCAGGGGGTGGGGGCAGTCACGTATTCATTGCTACATGGCTGATGTTTATAACGTTGAGATTTAATATTTGGAAAAAAATTAAGTCAGCGCAATGGAAAACACATTTTATGATTACCTAAGGCTTTATATTATAATTATAACTAAGACATTTAATTAAGTTTAAGTCCCTGGTCAGTTGAAGAAAAGAAGTTTCTAAAAGCATGATTATAAAAATCTCTGGAAACAGTTCGCGTTAAATTAAAAGTTACTAATTAATTTAAAAAAAAATTATTTCTATGTTTTAAATATGCTCATTTAGAATTAGAAGGTTCTAAGTTAAAAATAAAATAGAAAAATAAAAAATAAGAAACAACTAAGTATGGATGCGCTTAATCGTGCATGCGTAATCATTATATGTATTTTTAAAAGGGGCTTTTTTAGGGAGGTAATTCTTTTGAAATAAACTTTGCTCCAAAATTAGACTGACCTCCCCTTAACTGTTTTTTTTTTCTTTACTATCAGTTCTTAGAGTTGTTTGTTTACAAGTTTACGTGTTCTTAGATGTAAGAACTGTGTTTAGTCTCACATAGTTTTGGGGAGGGGGGGGGGTGGAAAGGGTCATCTAAAAATGGCGTCACATGTGGAAGTGGGGGGAGGTAAATAGGTTTTATGACTTTTGTTACGATGAACTAACTCCACGCCGGTAAAAAAAAAAAAATTTTGTCGTAATTTGAAATTTCGCTTTTAAATCACTGTTAACAGGACGATGATTTTGTTGGAGCTACGAAAGTTAGTGGGACTGGCGAAAGTTGTCTCACACTAGATGATTGTTGAGTTGCTTTGCGGTGTGACATATTGTGATGATGTGTGATGGCGTGGCGAGTTGGGGTAGAAAGTAGGTTACAATGTCACGACGTTATAGATGCTTTCCTTATCATTCGCCTCTCACGGCAGATGGTACAGTGACATATCGCACATCATCACAACCACATGACATAATCACAACTAAATGACATCATCACAATAACATGAACATAGATCGTCAGAGACAGATGTTTAGAAGGGTACGAGGTTAGGAAACATGACAAGACAGGAACAAGACAGATACAAGACAGGTACCCGATATGGAACAACACTACAAACAAGACACAGACCACGACAGTAACAAGAAAGTAAAGAGACAGAAACATCACAATACAGAAATAAGACAAGGAGCAAGACAAATAACAAGACAGGAACAAGCGTTAATAAGACAGATGTTACGAGACAGGTACAAGACAACAAAAACAAGACATTGGCTAGGCAGTATGTAAAGTAAACATGCGCATCATTATGTCGGGAATGTGTGTCGACAAAATTTGGTTAATATAAACATTTACAATAAGTGTTTTTGAAACATAGTACCACCTTTACTTTCTAAGCCTTTGGAGGATTATAAATGCTCCTATAGAAGTACTTGATACACTACTTTAGTTTAAATTTACAGTAATTTAAGTACTTGGAAATTGAGACTTTATTGTGTGAATTTGTTTTGTTTTTGATTTGCTACCCTTTTGTTCTGGATATGCAACCAGTTTTAGCTTGATTTTATTACAGATTTTGAGCGTACTTTGTTCCAAACTTTGAGCTTGATTTATTACAAATTTAGCGCTTGATTTGTAACAAGTTTTGAGCTTGATTAGTTACAAATTTATGAGCTTGATTTGTTACAAATTTTGAGCTTCATTTGTTACAAGTTTATCGGTGAATTCTTTTTCAAGAATATGAGTCTGGTTGCGTAATAATATCTTTAAAAATGTAACCACATTAACTCTTACTTCGCTTAAGGATTCGATCCCTCTAGAGCTACCAGTCATTACAATGATAAGCCAAACAATGATACTACATTTTAAAACATGTTTGACTTTAATGTTAATTCAATGTTCTCTATAATTTAAAATCTAAATAAAACAAACAAACCAAGCATAATTATGTTTGTCAAAAAATGCGTGTATTGAAATTTAATCTACATACAGCAATATTCAAGAGAATTTTGTCATAAAACTACCCATATGAATCAGGAATCTACCATAATTTTTCCCTCTATAAAACATACATTGACTTATGATACATAATAAAGATAACAAGCCTAGGAATATAATTTGCGAGATAGTTATTGTTCCTATTTAAATTATTCAGAAACAAAAGATTTCGTTTCTGAGAACTTATGAAGTGGCTACCCTTCTGTTCGTAATTAGTTGATAGTCACTAGATCATAACAGATCCCAAAGTAGCTAGTAAATCCCCAAACTTGGTAGAAAATAGACCCTACCATACCAGTAATGTCGATAGCCACTAAATCAAACGGTTGGTGCCCACTACAGTCCAATATGTCCTATTACATGGGTAGCCACCACATATACCCTTCGGCTACTGTTAAATCGGGTAGCCACCACATATAAACTATGGCTACAGTAAATCATGGTAGCCACTACATACAACATTCAGGCTACTTTGAACTCGGTAGCCCACACATCCCGACTATATCAAATTTTGACTAAAATACCAAATACTTACAATACATCATCAACTTTGCAATTCTAAAATAATTTAAAAAACAAAACACGACAGAAAATCAGTTTAAATAAATATGCATAAAGATATAACCATAGGATCCTTAACAGAAATGATTATTGGATATTTTAAATTTCACATTTTTCCTCTTTATACAGACAAAAAAATGCAGTGCACGAAACATCCGTGGTACGGCTTGTTGCTTTCTGAGGTAGTCACACTTGTAGACATAGTTTTCTGTTAGTTTCTTGTGGAGCATTTGTTGACGTAAATATATCAGCAGTTGTTTAATGCGCATGCGTCAGTTTTACAGATTGAGAAGTTGCAATCTGTGACAACATTTGTCAAAGTTTACGACATCAAGTGTTAAAGTTCATAATCCGATGTCACCGTTGCATAATATGACAGTCTATGCTAGCCGATTTTTTTTAAAAATAGACACTTTAGTATCGAAGTCAAGTATTGAGTTTTGGCAGTTTAACAAGTTCAGTGCAAGGTCACTCGTTGTTACAGTATTTGTGTCCAGCAGTCTCAAGGCCATACCCAAGAACCGCACGTGAGATAGCTTGACTCACAAAGGTGAGCACTTAATCCTGCTTGGTTGAACCAAGTTGAGTGACAGATAGGCGAAACAAAGACCACGGAGCACCTATTTATCCCAATAGTTTGAGAAAGCATGACGTGTGTGTGTGATGGATCCATATTTATCCACGTGATCCGACAATGATTCTTTGTTTTCTGAAGATAAATTCCATGTAGTCTTTATTTTTTTATTATTTCACAGTTTTTATTTCACAGTCTGGATAAATATCAAATAAAAACTATAAACCTTTACACACGAGTTCCAGTTTAAATCCATCGAGGTGTGTTGATAAGCATAGCAAGTGACATATCCCAATGTGTTGTCTTAAGGCGAGTTTCCACATACGTTGCTCAATGTTTTTGTGATATGACTTTCAAATATCAACCAGAGCTAGTGTGTAGGGTCAGAGGTCACGCGGGGTAGAGTCACGTGATCAGGTCACATCACTTACAGAGGTACACATCCTCCTCCTCCACACACTCCTTACACTTGAGGCTACAGCACCATATCACCTCACACTTACACGGCCGCTTGTACATACGTTTCTGTACATTATGTCCCCGCCCACAGCAGATTGACCCGCAGTTCTGTCCCTTGTTGCACAGACGCCCGTACGTCCCCGGGGAGTACCGGCTAGCCTTGCAGAAATCCGGGGAGTCGTCGATGTGGATTAGCTCCGTCAGCCCCACGGGGACGCTGAGGTTCTGCTGGGAGGTTTCCGGAGGGTGGGGGCGCTGCTTCATGAGCTGCGTCTCGGGGGCGTGAGGGCGCTGTTTCATGAGCTGCGTCTGGTCAGTGGTGGCGTCGTTGGTGGTGCCGATGACGCGGACAGACTTCTCGTACTTGTTTTTGAGCACCCGCCCCACCTCCTTGAAGGGCGCCAGTTGCTGCCAGCAAGTCTCCACCGTGCAGGATCCGGACAGGCCGTGGCACTTGCAGGTCTTGTTCACCAGTTCACGGACGATCTGGGGGAAATGGAAAGGTAAATTATAAGCAAGGTGGTTCTATGCCGTGGTTCAGGGATAGGGTTTGAGGGTGGGGTTTAAAACTGGGGTTATGGTAGGGTTGCAGGGTGGAATTTGAGCGTGGGTTACGGGTTGAGGCTTTAGGATGAGGTTTTAGAGTGGAGGTTCGGGGTGAGGTTTGAGGATGTTCAGTTTTTCGGGGTGGGATTCCAGAGTTTTAGTGCAGCATTAGGGGATTGTCATAATTTTTTTAAAAGGGGCTTTTAATTTTCTTCCTTCTATAATTATCGTTTATCTAGTGGAAATTTATATTCGAAATCAAGAAACCAGCATCTTTTTTTTAATTTCTTTAAGTATCAAATAAAAGTGTAAAAAATAAGGGCAATCAAGTTAGCTTCAACACGTTATTATTCATACACAGTAACGACCCATTCATAACAAACTCAGTGACAGTGTAACAGCAACAACACGACTACACAGTAGCGACTCGACATTCAAGGGACATCACTAAGAGATACAGAATAAAAGGGAAGTAACAATAAGTAACAAGATCACACTATCCCTTTACACGCCGAGTTTAATGAAACAAGTGAACTCTACTTCACCTGCCATATCAGGCGTCTGGCTTTGTTTGCAGTGGGGTTGTGATGAAGAGGCGCGCCTGATTGTATGTCCTAGACCTATTTCACACTATGAAGAGATAGAGTCGTCAGCACTATGCCCAGCCGCCTTTACTTTCCCAAACGTAAGTTAGGTATCCATCAGAGCTGGGTGGATTCAGGGACGTTTTACTGACTTGAACCCGTATTCAAGCTCAAACTTTCTAATTAGGACGCTCGATCGCTAGGCCACACCGCCTCCTCATCCCTCTCAACTCTTCACATCTACCTCGGTAATCTGACTGAATTACATATTATGGTAATTGACGATAACGAATGTCAGATTCCTGATTTGGACTTGTCTTACTCGGTTTAAGAGCAAACAACTCATAACACACGAATAGCAGCTAGCTAAACCGGATAGAAATATTTCAAGACCTACAGCCTCGGAAGAAAAAATAATAATCATTAAAAAAGTTTTAAAAAACCCACGTTTTCTGATTGAACTAAAAAGTAGAAAATAAATACTATACATACAATAATGCAAGCGATCACTCTACTATAAGCTATCAAAAACGTGGGTCGCCGAAGTAAAAGTTATATTACTATTGATTAGATAATACTATTGACTTTTATTAGGGAGCTTGTAGAGAGTCAACAGTATTAGAAACTGTAAGAAAATCACGGCGCCCCACGTTTTTGATAGCTTATAGTAGAGTGATCGCTTGCATTATTGTATGTATAGTATTTATTTTCTACTTTTTAGTTCAATCAGAAAACGTGGGTTTTTTAAAACTTTTTTAATGATTATTATTTTCTACTTTTTAGTCTTTGTCTGTTTGTTTGCATTAAAATCTTGCTATCGATTTTATCTTTTCACTTTTTTTTTGGGTAAACGAAGACAACTCGTAAAAAGACAACTCGTAAAAAGACAACTCGTAAAAAACATGTTGTTTGAATACGTTACTGACTAGAACACATAGATTTGAACCCGTGTCGAGTGGGATAGCAATCGTGTGCCCAACCACTCGACCATATCGTCTCCCCCAAACTGGCCTACCTCCTGTAAGTTTAAACTCGGTTCAAGCTAAATTCTCTGCCCCTAAGCCTGTGGCGACATGTGATCGTTCGCTTCACTGCGCGCGAGGTACGCGTCGCTGGTTTTTTTTCTAATGGCTAGCAGAGGAGAATTATATATATAGATTATATAGCGGTCTAAAATGCTCAATAAAATGTTTCCATTGATCAATTTAGTAATAATAACAATTGAATATTCAATGGTCATCCAAAAGAAAGCTTCCCTGAAAATTTCAGCGCGCTAGCTAACTGGGAAGTGCCAGAAATTTCGATCGCAAGATTTGATTGGAAAGACAAACAAACACACAAACAGAGAAAGCAAGTTAAAGAAAACGTGGGAAAAAACATCAATCCCCACCTATTCATATTCATTTATCAACAAATAACCGACTTTAAAAGATCGGACAAAACGTCCGTTTAAAAAAAATATCCTGGTCGTATATGATAGCAAAACACGGGCCTACACAACCCCACCCACCTCGCTATTGTGCCGCCCGCGTGCTTTGTCCTCCTATTAAATTCCGTTTAATCGGAATTCCACCTTCTCTAAAGAGATTATCCAAATTTAATCCGCTAGGCAGGGAACTTCTCAGGAATAAGTTGCACGGGCAAAAAGGCTTTATTTGAGCGCAGTGCGACCCGGGCGAAAGGGCTCCTATTCTCGTTGGCGCCGCGGTTGAAATAAACTGGCTCCATTGATGGGCCGGCGGGCCAACGGTGGGCCGGCGGGCCAAAGAAAACTTATTCGTGCTGGGGTAATAAGGGATTTATTTGATAAACCTACTGGTGTATTTGCTTAGCTGCAAGAGCTGAAGATTGCAGTTTGTGCGGTGACGTTCAGGTTGTTTGCGGTGATTTAATAAATCGCAAAGGTCTACCGCAAAGTTTGGATTTTTTTTTATTTCTTGCTTTAGCAAAGTGAACAAGTGCACATTGAGGAGAGACAACATTAAATGAAAACAGATAAAGATGGATGGTTAATTCATGTACTTTAATATAGATGGCCATTTATGGCGCGTAAAGATGGATAACACTTTGTTGGACCTAATAATGGATGGCCTTTTCCAACATTTAACGATGAACGGCCAATTTTTAAAAAATGGCCTCTAACTGTCCATAACAACGAATGGCCAATTGTTGAACATAATGGCGTTAGGCCATCTTTCATACGTAAAGATCTATAGCCGTCAACTTTAAATAATTTTAGAATAGAACATTGGATGATTGCGCATTGGAAATCCAAGCACATAGCCTGGGCAGTAAGTTGAGAAGAGCCAGATTTTGCCCATGTATCTGACCCCCCCCCCTCTCCACACAGCTGATGGACCCACGGGACAGGACGTTACCTGTACAGTTTGACATCAGCAGTGTCGCAGGAGCTACCAAAAGGAAACCAGAGTTGGTAATCCTATCGCCTAAGGGGCTCCACTCCTGATTTTATTTTGGCGGAGTTTACTCCCCTAGATGGGTTGCTGTCCCTAGCTGACTAGCCTCATCTGCCCGAACTCGAGACTTTCGGGTAAGCAACTTTACGCTTACCCACCCGACCACTCCGACAACTACATACACAATAATATTCGTGAATAAAAAGCTAATAAAATAGCGTACATCAAATGGGCTAGGCTTTCTTTGCGGCTTTACGCACACGTTTTTTTTTTGTTTTTATATTATGCGCAAACGGTAAACTGCGCAAACAGAACAATGCGCAAATGCAAAAATTATACTAATACACTTTAATCTTGTCGTATTCCGTGAAAAAATGATTTACTATGATACAATATACATGTGGTTATTCTTTGTTAACGTCTATAAATACTCGATTTAAGATGTATGCCATTACGCACTTTTTTGTGCGCAGTTTTCCATTGCGCATGTTTCCGGTCACCCTTATTGTCCCGCCTCCCTTCAGTAAATGTTGTTTCTTTACTTTGTTCGACATTTATTTTTCAAAAATAATTAGAATTTTATCGTGTGTGACCTGCACGTATTCGATTGCTTTAAAAATGATGATGACGTCATCATTTAATGTCACTTCAGAACATGTGCTTGGATACATTAATTACGTAAACGTCAATAGGAGTCTCAATACAGCAGGAATATTCTAAGAAAGAGACGTGGCTAGGGTAGAGCGAGGGGGCGGCCGCCCCGGGCGCCGACCATAGGTCTTTGTGATAAACAACATTCTTAGGATAAAAGACAGTCTTAGACCTAAAGACACCGTTAAAAGCATAGTATACCAGATATTATATCTTTCACCTTAGGCACATTCCTCAATATATATATATATATATATATATATATATATATATATATATATATATATATATATATATATATATATATATATATATATATCTTTGCAACCCCCCCCCCCCCTTCCTAATCTAGTAAGTAGGCTGTAGCCACTAATAGATAGAAATCAGAACCCTGTACTCCCAGAATAGAAGCCAGCTTTGTTAGCCATTAACGAACTCTCTGGGTTTCTAAGTCGAGTTTATTTATATACAACAAGTTTTTCATCTCCGTGGGTATTTGGTCATATGATCTGTGTGTGAATCAAATATTTACATTGGCGATCAAATACGATGTGTTACTAAATTTAGAAAGCTTTAAATTTGAAATGTAAATAAAGAAAAGATTGGAATGTGCTGGTATGAAACTCCTTACCTACTCTCTACACATAAATTTATATGAGCTGATTATACTAATTATAGCTATTCATTTGTTTAGCGCAGGGGTCTCCAAACTTTTCAGTCCGAGGGCCGCATTAACTATCAAATTTCAGTTCGGGGGCCAGTTTCTTCCAGGCATGTCTTTGATTTTTCTGGGCAAAGTTCCTCAGCCATCACCAACAAACGTTTTTTCAGTGGACAAAAAGATCTCCGCGGGCCGGATGAGAGGACATCGCGGGCCGCATCCGGCCCGCGGGCCGTAGTTTGGAGACCCCTGGTTTAGCGTGTTAGCTGTCTAAATATAACACAGTATATTTCCCATACGAAAGATACGCGATATCAATTGCATTAGTTATTTGTGTAAGACAGTCTTAATATAAATCTTATTTTAAATTTAACTTAATCCGAATCAATAACAATCGGATGTGTTAGAAATTCTAGACCTAGTTCTATGTATCAGGTTATCTTTTACACATCAATCCACCACACCCATACTACACACCAAAGCTACACACCAATGATGCAGACCAAAACTACATAACAATCCTACATATCAATCATGCACACCAATGCTACACAGCGATGATAAACCCCAATCCTAAACACCAGCTTTACACACCAAAGCTAAGAGTAAATGCTACACACGAATGCCACACACGAAATGTACACACCAATTCTACACACCATTTCTGCACAGCAGTGCTACACACCAACCCTGTACAACACCACAACACGATAGTGCTGCAAACAAACACAGCACACCTATCCTCCAATACAACTCTTCGCTCCCCTACACAGTCCCTCTACCCACCAACTAACACAATCACAACACCGATATTAAAAAACAACTTTAAACACTGAAACGTATCATACAACAAGTCTACACACTGAAACTGCGCATACAATATCCACATATATTTCTAACTATACTAGACCCACAACAATCTTCAAGGCTGTAACAAAAAAATTTAATTCATTAAAAACGCGAAACCTGCGCTTTCAAGGATGTTATTTTTAGTACTTGAAGGCTCTATTATCGCATAATTATAGAATGTAATCAACTTTATCGACATCATTAGCAACGCTAAAAAAAAGTAGATAAAATTGTTTAGTTCAGTTTCTTGCATGTAATTTTGTTTCAAGTCTTGTTTGGTACACTACGCTACTAAAGTACAATACTCTATTGGGTTCACATGCGTTAATTACGTAAAAGTACATTGTATTTATTTGAAATTTTGAATTATAAAAACTTAATAAACAACATTCGCGTTCGGTCGGATTACGTTGTATATAATGTAGGTATAACTGTCAGGTTCATTACATTCATTTTTAAAATGTGATATGTGGAGGGGGTGTAGTGCAGTAGTAGAGCAATGGATTGCTAATACTAGTCTCGAGTTTGACTTCTACTCGATAATCAGCAGAAAGTCCACGCAGCTCTGGAGGGTTCAGAACGAATGAATTCAGCGTCCTTGTCTTCATTAGGTTTGGAGGGTACCTGACTCTAGACTGGGGACCATACAATCCGTGCATGTGCACAGGAAAAATAACTCTTTTCAAATTGAATGCTCTAACCGTTAACAATCTTGAAATGCCATTAAATTTATATTTAAGTTCAGAAGCGTCCAAAAAAAATCAGACGTAAAATACTCGAAATTCAAAGCAACTCATGTTCAACCCCTATTGTAACGTTTTACGAAAATAATCTAAAAAATTATATAAACGTATGTATCTCAAAGTCGAAAATCTATTGATGTGAATTTATTAATTTTTAAATATTGTTTGGGATGGGGGTTAATAACCGGTATGATATATTTCGGTATTGTCTAACGAATATAAGACACCCCCCGCATTCACTAATGACCTGTAATTAACCAATCAAACTAATCAAGCCGAGCCTCACCTTGATGCCTGCCCGGCTGTTGTGTTCATCCACCCTAGCCCGGATGTCCTTCTCAAAGCCTTTCGCGCGCTTCAGAAACTTGTTGGTGAACTTTGACCCGAACCGGATGTTGTCACCACATCCGCCCCACAGCCATGTCTTCGTGTTCTCCAGTTGCTCCGACTCGTCGCACGAGCACCTGTCTAGACGGCCTTGTGCGCATGCTCGGGAAATCTCGTGCACTAGCCCCGCAGACGAGATGGCGTAAAGAAAGGCTGTCTCCTTCACGCCTGCAAGAAATAGAGTAGATGATTGATTAATTAATTAATTAATTAGAAATAGTAGAAACATTGTATTTAATTTATTTAAAGCTTGTATTTCGTTCTGTTTGCGGTAACTCTTGTTCAGATCTTCACACCGAGAACATAAGACATCCTGGGGGTGGGGGGGGGGGGGTCGTCGTGTACATAGGACATCATGGGGGGGGGGTGAGGGTTCAGATCTTCAGATCGAGAACATAAGACATCCTGGGGGTGGGGGGGGTCGTCGTGTACATAGGACATCCTGGGGGGGGGGGGCGTCGTGTACGTAGGACATCATGGGGGAAGGGCGTCGTGTACATAGGACATCCTGGGGGGGGGCGTCGTGTACATAGGACGTTCTGAGTCCACCCAGCTCCCCTCGCTGCCAGACTTACAGATCACACAACCCGTTGACATACCGAGGTCACAGAAACAGATAAGTTCTGCTTCACCTGGCCTAGTGACAGTTAAGGGTGAAAATGTATTTGTATTTACCTAATTCATCAACACAAACGTGAGTTCTTGTAAAGTTAATGACTAGAGTAATCGAAAGAGACGGGCTATAAAAACCAAGAACGAAAAGTAATGGGATGTTGTGTATTAATTGTTCAACTCATTTTAATCTGTTCTGTATATATAATTCTACAATAGCTCGCAATTAAAACTCCATTGGGTGATTCGCTCTGCATAAATCCAACCGTGTGCGGTCTTATTCTGTTTATGTTTTCTTGAATACAAAACGTGAGTCTGTGTACATTGCGTTGTGTGTCTAAACAAAGAGTCACAGTCATGTCTGACTTTAACTAATAGTCGTCGGAGATTTGTGAGGAATCCCACAGTCAAACTGAAGAATAGCAGACGTTTATTTTCCACAAAGGGCAGGTGTGTTCAGATGATGATACCTGGACAGCAGAAGGACAGCTATTATGACAGCTATCAGGACAGCTTTCAGTAGTTCTCATGACAAAATACGCGGTTTAAACCAGTCTACAATGGCTACACACACACATCGCCACTCAACTACACGCTACTAATACACGCACTTAATGATAACCACACACATCGTCACAAAAATGATGATAGCCACACACGACGCTAACCACCTGCACACAAGATGATAGCCACACACACACACACACACACACACGCACAAAGCTACACACACAGCCACACACATAGCCACACACACATAGCCACACACATAGCCACACAAATTATGGTAGCCACACACAATACACACACAATAAACACCTTTGAGAGACAGTAGACCACACAACACCCTAGAATACGTAGTTGGCCACATATAACCACACATCTATAGGGTAGCCTTATACAACCCCACATTATGCGGTTGTCAAACATCTACACATTTATATTGTAGCCTTATAGATCCCCACACTATACGGTAGCCAAACATCTACAAATATATATGGTAGCCAAGAACATCTCTTTAAAAAACAACATTCACAACATAAACAAGTCATTTAGTTGTAGCAAATGTCTGAAACTACTATGTTCAACAATCTAACTGAAAATATCGATATCCGTTAGAGAAACTAGTCGACATTTACAAAAAATATGAATGAAATCAATAAACAACTTAGTATTTAACGTATACCTGCCATATCTTTGGTTATTTTAGCTGTATGTCATGGCATTCAAAATTACTCGAATGATTGTCTACTTTGGACAAAAACACTTCTAGAATTGCAGGCGAGTTGAGCCTCAAGATGAGTGTACAATTGAATTAAGAAAAGAAAAAAAAAATGAAAGTACACGCATTTTTATAAAACATTTTTCTACAAAGTCAACATGACCATAGCCTAAAAGAATTCCTACAAAAATATATCACATAAACACCCCCATCCCCCCCCCCCCCCACACACACACACATATCGCACACACTATTAATAACTTTCACTCTTCGCCAAAGGGAGAGCAGTATGTATTTTATTTCGTTAACTGCGTGTTTCAACCCGTACGTCAAAACCATGTCAAAACAAGTACCTAAAACAGATACCTTGACTTGTTAGTCGAGTCAAACTTGACTTAAGGTAAACGTCTCATCCAGCCGCTATCTCTGTCGGTATTTTATAAGTAAAATTCTACTTTTGTCTCCATGTACAGTGAGGTACTGTTCTTCATTCGTCAGCCTCCACACATGCGTACAACATAGATAGAGGCTTGTACTGTATGCATACTTTTTAAATATCATATAGGTTGGTTCTTAGAAAATATCCACCTACTCTACTTTAAATATATATACACACACACACATATAGGCCTACACACACACACACACATATATATATATATATATATATATATATATATATATATATATATATATATATATATATATATATATATATATATATATATATATATATATATATATATATATATATATATATATATATATATATATATATAGGCAGAGGCGTCACGAGGCTGGGGCAGAGGCGTAGCGAGGGGGGGGGCGGGGGGGGGACATATGTCCCCGGGCGCCGACCTTAGGGGGGGCGCCAAATTGAAAGTTTGAGGGGGGGTGCAAATGAAAAGTTCGAGGGGGGGGGGTGCAAATCGAAAGTTTGAGGGGGGGTGCAAATGAAAAGTTCGAGGGGGGGGGGTGCAAATCGAAAGTTTGAGGGGGGGGGGGGGGGTGCAAATGAAAAGTTCGAGGGGGGGGTGCAAATCGAAAATTTGCTCCCGAGGGGGGCGCCAAATTGAAAGTATGTCCCCGGGCGCCGGGAAGGGTCGCTACGCCTCTGGGCTGGGGCGAGGGTGTGGACCGCACCGGGTGACATCATTTAGGCATAACACCAAGGCAAAACTGCAAATTGTATAGAAGAAAAATGTTTTTTACAGTTCAAATAATTATTTTTAAGTCCATTTGTCGAAGTATTTTCAATAAATGCTGTCAATCAACGAACGGGGAAAAGGTGACACCAAATGTAAAAAGGTACTATGAAAAAGATGCATTTTTCCATATGAAATAAAAGGTGGAATAGTGTACTGTTCGCACACATAAACACCATTATGCAAAACGTGAGGAGGGTGGGGTGTGACACCAATTGCAACTATATACATCTATATCTATAGCATGATATATTTTTTTTTCTTTTGGGGGGTGGGAGGTTGACACTATGAGGTGACACACAGTGTGACACCCGACCTAGCGACACAACTGTATATAGGGTATATATATATATATATATATATATATATATATATATAGAGAGAGAGAGAGAGAGAGAGTGTGAGAGTGAGAGAGAGAGAGAGAGAGAGAGGCAAGGGGGGGGGGGGGTGGAGAGAGCGAGAGATATCGTACATATCCAGTTAAGAAAAAATATATTTTTAATCAATTTGTTTTTGACTCTTAAGTCTTTAACACGTCGCGCTGATGGACATACAAACTCATGTTGTGTTTGACAAACTTCCAACCCTGTCCAGTATCCTCCTCCCAAAGGCACGCACCGGTCATTGAACTTTTAATTTGTAACCATCTCCGGCCACTTTGTGATCTCATTCTCATAAGACAAACGAGTTACGAGGAGCAGAGTTACTTCCCATTAGCCGCCTGACAGCCGTACAAACACTCTCCCTTGTACTACAAGCTGATGTGTCGGCTCATACAAGGGACATAACCTACTGCGGCGGAAATTGATGTGTGAAAAGGGGCGCAATCTTCAACAAATATATGGGTTGTGTGGATTTAAATAACGTTAATTGTTGTAGAAAGTAGTTTTAAGAGAAAGGTATTTCTAAATTCTAAGGTGATAATTAAGGTGAAGATTTAAGAAGTGTTAGCTTGACAGAAGATTAACTAAGCGCGAATAAATAAAAAGGGACGGAATGTTTTATTTATTTAATAGGCCCAGAAAATACAAATGACATTTGCTGTATATGTTTATGGTGGCATATAACATCCAAGTGGATGGACTGGCAGTCACGTAGAAAATTAATTAATTAAGTCCGTAATTAATTTCAAGTTACAGCTTCGAATTAATGGAATTTTATTATACTATGCAGTTTTTCAACACTTTTGTACACACTGAAGCTAGAAATATAGTCCGTCTATTATAGAAGATAACTTGGGATTACTTTAGACTTCTTGGGACTACTTATGTGCAATAATAATTTAACTGACGCTACGATTCACCTGGGTAATCAATTAAAAAAGAAGATCTCATTAAGTGAGTTGCATAGTAGTTGCACGATAGTTGCAGGATAGCTGCTTTGATAGTTGCATGATAGATGCATGATAGTTGCACGATGGCTTTGTATTATAGATGAACAGAAAGTCAGGTAGCACTTGATAAAAAGCTGACAACACTAAATTAGAGAGTCACACACCATTTAATGAGAGAGTCACACATCAGTTAACGAGAGAGTCACAAAATTGATCAGATAGACATAAAACATTTCATCACACTATGAGAGTCAGAAAAAGGTTGAAAAAAATTCACATAAACGTTCAGAGCCACACTAAAATCAATCACAGAGTCACAAAACATTAAATCACTTTACGAGAGTCAGACAACAGTTGATCAGGAAGTCACACAATTGATCAGAGTCACACTGAGCCCACGCGTCACCATAAAAAAGACTGGTGTTTATAGGCAGCTCAGCTTTGGACAACTATTCAACAAATGCATTGTCTGCACGACGGTGCTGCTAATCACGACTAATCACGATTAATCCGGCGCAGGATTAAGTTCCCAGTCTAGTGCATCCAGCGACAACTCTATAGAAACAAACGTGCTGCCTTGTTCGTAGATCTGCACGTCTTGGCTGTCGAGAGCAACGATCACGGCTAATCTCCAAAAAATGAAGTTTTAAGCCTGAAACTGCGCACCAAGACGAAGGACACTTGATCGGGGATTTCCGGTATGCTTCGGCGCAGCACCGTTCTTTTGCGCCCGAGCCAGTTGCCTCACAGCTAGTGTATGCCAGTCTAGCTACATCATCATGCTAGTGGGTGAGGG